ATGAGCAAAGATGAATAGTGGCTAGCAGTAGAATCTAGGACGCGCGCCACTTCGTCCCATTCACTACTCGTCAACTGGATGTACCTACATCACAGAGTTGATATTCACTCTGAGAATCAAACCCAGGAACTTTCGCTCCAAATGCCATCGCGTTAACCACTCAACTACTGAGTCCTGATAGTCACTTACTTGTGCAATGGAGTGAAGTTTTAAATTCACTTGGTATTGTCTACTTCTATCTTACCATTATATTATTATCAATTAGATTTCTCCCCCCCCCTCAAACGTATTTATTCTTCCCAGATTCTTAAAGATGCCTTTATCTTATTCTTTATATGTATATTAAATGAATTAACCTAAACTGACATTCTATTTTAAAGGATTAAAAACAAAAATTCAAAAAATCATGATATAAAATATTATGATTATTATACTACTAATAATACTACTCATAAATAATATCTATTATATTATACATTAATTTATAATATGGATTTATCAGTTATGACATGGTAAGCATATAATAATAATAATAATATTGGAACATCATAATAATAAAAAAATTGTCGTAAAATAAGTCGTATTAATTCTGTCTCCTTAGTTTATATATGTGTGTACGTATGTGTGTAGGAGAGAGAGGGAGGGAGAGGGAGAGAGAGTATAAGATTACATCCACCCCTTATACGCTTATTAATAACCTTTTTCATCATATAAGATAACAGTGAATATGATTAGTTTAAGCCATATATTTATGATTTGTATACATAAATAAGCTTATATTTAATTAGCTAACATAAGCTTAATGTATATTATCTTTGGACAACAACAGTGATAATCATAATAATCATAATAATAAAATCAGTAATAACAAGGAATAACGTAAACCATAGAGAGAAATAGAGAGAGAAACCGAGTGAAACAGTAAAGTAAATTAATGATTCCCTATCTTATAAATTTTTAAAAAAAATTTCTCTTTCATATGTCTGTAACATCTTTTAGAATGATACCTTTTAGACGGTACATATATAATAGTTTCAGCTTCCATAATTCTTCTTCTACTTTCACTCCATCACCACCACCACCACATTCCCCTTCTTCTTCCTCCTCCTCTATTTTTATCTACTTTAATATTATTACTTATTTTATGTAATCAAAATAAATAATGTCAAGAATAAAATATACAGAAAAGACTACTTAAATCATGACAATTAAAAACTATAACAAAAGCTAATCCTCATAATGAGAAACAATATACTGAAAGATTTTATAGGTCCCTTTAAAAAAAGAAATAATAAACTATTATACTACTATTATCTAAACAAATGGATCTCAGATAAATTGAACCATTATCCTTGTATTATAGAAACTTTTCCCTTACAATCTCTTTAAATAAATCAAAGACAATATATGAAAGTCTATGAATTCATTTATCTTTATATAGATGTATATGGCAACTAGAACCGATACATATATGTACCTAGTCCTATGTTACAATTAACTGATTGATTTCATTATATATAGTAACTGTAAATGTGTATTGAATAATTAAATTCAAGAAATTTTTATAGAGTTACGATTATAAATTATTTGAAGCTAGACCACCATGAAGGAACCTGGAAGCACTGATTGACGGCCAACTCGTCCTATTGTGGGACTCCTCAGTGGCAGTGCACATCCACAACCTCGCCTCACGAGATTCGAACCCAGGACCTATCAGTCAAGCGCCAGAGCACTTAAACGATAGACCACTGAGCCGACATCCAACAGTTTTAATGTCTAACTTCAACCAATCCACGAAATTGAGAAACCATTCACCAATGCCATCAGTGAGTTGATATCTCTCAACAGACTTGGTTGAACTCCACTGGTTAATGCTTTCTCACTAGAACTCCAGGAAATACCTCATGCAGCCAGTCACTAGTGAGCACATAATCATTATCAGAAGGGCTTTTGTGGAGATTTCAAAAAAATAATAATAACACAAATTATAAACATGTTCATTTATGTTTAATTGATTACTTATAATTTTTTCTAGATGTAATTAAGTAGTAATTAATCTTCTTATTAAAATTAATCCTTCAATTGTTCTTCCATCCACCATCCCCCCGTGACGAAAAAATCCTTCTCTTTCAATAAAAACAAACACTTGGTTCTTAATTTGAATCATCATTAAATTTTATACTTGATTAATTCAACGAAATAAAAATATCTATTTCGTATAAATATTCTGTCTGATAAAAATTAACTTTACTAAATTTAACATGGTAAGCAAAAATGAATAGTGGCTAGCAGTGGAATCCAGGACACTCGTTTCGTCCTATTTGGGACTCGTCATCTGGATATGTCTGCATCTTAGAGTTGATGTTCACTCTGGAACTCGAACCCAGTACCTTTCTCTTCAAACGCCATCGCGTTATCCACTCAACTACTGAGTCCTGATAGTCACTTGTTTTTGAAATGAGGCTATATCGTAGCAATACGCACAGTATGTACATATGCTAAATAGAGACTGACCAGTTGCAGTCCTAAACATCAATAGGAAGATTTAAACAAACAATACTATGAATTTAAAATTACCATTGTCTACATAGTGATAGAAAACGTTTTTTGTCAAAAATTTGTTACTACTGATATCAATTAAAAGTAGATGAAGCAATAGCAACGAAACGTTTTATGACAGATAAGTACATCTTAGTAGATAAAATGAAGTAACTATGGTAAATTATTTTTATTAGTTTCAAATAAAGTATTGTGCAGGAATTCAACAAATTCCACCATTTTGTTATGCGAATTGCATTTTTAAATAATATTTCAGGAAACAGTATTGATTGACATTATGAATTGATCTAAGTTAGACCACCATTTAAATTCGTCCTAGTATGGAACTCAAAAGTTCTCATCCACGATCCCGCACGTAAGATTCTAACCCAGGACATTCGATCTCGCGGATGAATTTTTAATCTCTAGATCAATGAGCTGTCATACAAGAATGCTAATGTCCAACTTAAACCAACTCACGAAATCTTTCTTTGTCTTCGGTGGGCAACTGCCTCACACTCGACGGGGATTAACTCCACTGGTAAAAAGTGTTCAATGATGGTCTAACATTGGTTGATTTATGATCTCAATCAAAACTTAACGGCCTCCACAAATTTAAACTGGTGGATAATATTGAATTGAAGTTTGTTTTCAGAAAGAAAGATTTTTCCGTTACTTTAAGTAGGAATAAGTATTTGTAGAAAAGATTACCTGAGAATAACTTTTGCGTAGCAACACAAAATGTTAACTTGACTGTATTGTACTGTGATTATGAAAAGTTTGTACTTCAAGTGACAAATCATTCATATCCGTTGAAGGAAATTATGCTTTACATAGCGAGTATCCAACTGCAAGCTATTTAGATGATCAAACTCAATATTGCTAGGACAGGCTGAAGCTGGAATAACAAGAATTATTGTTAGGACCTTTCACATTTTAATCTTATTATAACCCTTGAAGTATAAAAACTCCACATTATTAATACATATTTCTGTTAGACAGTTTTTCTCAGGATCCCTACAATATTATGCTATATATATATGCTGTGGTGATAATATATATTCCATTTTTCTTTGAGTTGGAAATACTTTCTTAAAATTGCTATTATATCTTTCAATCTTCGTTTACGGTTAACATTGTCGAAGTGCTGCTGTGTACAAGTTGTATGTTCTATCCAGTCCGGCTAGATTTATTCCGTACAAAGTTATATCTCCAGTGGTCCACAGTGTGAACACAACTAGATTACATAATTGCGACATGGACTGTCTATTCATCCATACTATTTAAATTTGACTTTTTTTGAAACGTCGAACGCTACAAAAGATTTTACTCAATTCTTTACTAGTAGTATAACTTATATGAAAGAATAAATCCCAATACACATCTTATAGTTATATCCTGTGGTGCTTAAAAGTTATCTGAGGATACAGAAAGTGAACAAGCAGCTAACAGCAACCGTTTGAATGGAAAACTGAACATTCATATGAGTGTATGCTGTTAATTCAATAATCACATGTCATGTGAAATAAATTCATCATCGTAACTGGATAGAACAAACTTGATTACTAAAACAGGAAACTTTCAAAGATTATTCAAGTTGACGGAAATTTGCATTACGAACTGACCATGTGAATTAGACAGTTACCACCGATTATAATATTGTGAAATGATTGAGTTTGGAAACAGACACCAGTGGATACCGACTCGAGGGTTTGAAGATAATACGCAAAGGTATTGCTTTCGATCCCTGACAGGATTATAGGTGTGCATTGCTGATGAGTCGCATACTAAGAAGAGAAAACTGTATTATGCTCTCTGGTTGCCAATAATTCCGCAACTGAAATCAGTTTGTAACGAATAGAACCTAGAAAAAATTTAATTAGTCTCATATTCGCTGGTGAATATCATACTTGTATGATGTATCTGATATGAGAAATACTATGATTGAGGTGACTACTTAATCCAAAAGCTTACAAAATTCCAGTGTTTCTTATTTTTGGATCCTGAAATCATGAATAAATATACATTATATATATACCTTATCCAAATGCTCATACATGGCCACGCGTAAACAGATTCTGCTTAGGAATTCTTATTCACTGCCTTCTCGTGGCAAAGGGTGTTGTTTACAATGTTCGGAGGACGAAAAGAGAATGTCCAGAGCTTTAAACGGGTCGGTGGATATAAAGCATACAATTAGGGGAGTTGAAAAACCCTCATTCCAAACCAATGGTGCACATGGACAACAAGATCCTGAGTAAACAAGTGGTGTATCAACCTATTGTTGATCACCGACTACTACTGTGGGACTACATCTCCTAAAGGTGCTCCACTGCCTTGTGGATTAGACTTGTAGGTCAAAGGATCGGGCAGTGACCTTCACACAAATCGAATGACAAAGTGTAGCGCATATATATTTGGTGCCTCTTTGTTTATATATTTAAACAAATAAACATTAATATAAATCTGAACTGATTTTAATTGACTTCGGATTTGCTAGTTAACTGAATGTGAACAAGACTTTGGCAAGAACAAAAAAATTTTTGTATTAAAAGTATAATCTGTAAAAATGAAAGGGCAATAACAACACCGGTGATGGGACCGACTTTCAATGATAATAATAATGATAATCCACGTAAATAATGATTCTTCAAAATATCAATTTAAACAAAAAAAAAACACTGGACAATATACTTAAATTCTTCCTGATATCGATCGTAATGTTGATAATATATTCGGTGTATCTGGAAAGAGAACAGCAGCACGTCGTAAATTTAACAATAAATTCGTATATAAATCATCATGTTGTACAGATAAGTGATAATCTTTATTAACAGTTAACCACCATAAACTGAAATTGACTAAAGCTGTAGCAAATATCTAAAATTGAGCAAAATAAACAAAGAAAAGTGAGAAGAAAAAAAACATACACACAAATATAAACATTATCACTATGTAAGCAAAGATGGATAGCAGTGGAATCCAGGACGCGCGTTTCGCCCCATTTGGGACTCGTTAGCTGGATGTACCTGCATGTCAGAGTTGATGTTTATTCTGGGATTCGAACCTAGTACATTTCGCTTCAAACGCCATCGCATTATCCACTCAGCTACTGAGTCCCAGAGTGAACATCAATTCTGAGATGCAGGTACATCCAATTGACGAGTCCCAAATAGGACGAAACGCGTATCCTGGATTCCACTGCTAGCTACCATCCATCTCTGCTTATAAAGCTTGTGCCTTAAGGCAATATCGAGGCAATGCTCACAGTATGTACATATGGCAATAAGAGACTGACCAGTTGCAGTCCTAAACATCAATGAGAAGATTAAAACAAACAATACTAAGTGAATTATCACTATGATTACTATGCTTACAACAATAGGTAATAATGACATGCACTAGGAGCATTCAGACATATAGATATACCTTTGCACACATATTAGTTCAAGATCAAATATAATAGGCCAGATATATGGTAAATGAAGGACAATATTCGTCGATGCCATATATGTAATTTGATAATGTTTAGCTAAAATACTTGAGGGACGTTTGTGAGTATATACATGGTCACAGAGAGATTATCAACATTGGTGTGCATGTATATTCACCTGAAGAGTTCAAAGTCAGACGAAACACAAATCATGAATTTCATATCCAACTCTACTTATCACACTAATTGTCCTAGATAAATACAAGGATATGATTTGTTATTTATATTGCATTGTGATCTTTTTTGGAGTTATTATCTATTAAGATTACATTGGTTATGTTTTTCCTCTCCTGTTTTAAGTGAATCATGAGGGATAAGGTTTCTAAGAAAGTCAATAGGCTTCATCAATATCAGGTCACTAATACTACTACTGTAATGAACGAAGATTCATGTGGGGACAACCAATTTACTTTTGATACAAAATTACATAATATCTCCATAAAAAATGAGAACCACATATTAAATACTTCATTTGCAGATCTTCCATTAATGATCCTTCACATTCTGTATGGTTCTTCCAATTCAAAACTTTTTTCTATTTCCCTTTCTGTCTTCTTCAACTCGATCTTTTCAGCCTTCTGCTGCCGTGCATTCCACCTCTGATCGTCAACAGACATAAGTAGCATACACCACACTACTAATACTAAGCTAGTTCATTAATAATGATTGGTTTAACCATAACAGACCAAAATGATATCAACAACAATAACAACAACAAAAATCTATCAATCATAATAATATTTTCATAGTTGAAATCATGAGTCAATTGAAGCTAGACTACCATGAAAAACCTGGAAGCAGTGAACGGCCAACTCGTCCTATTATGGGACTCCTCAGCAGTGCGCATCTACGATCCCGCACTCGCGAGATTCGAACCCAGGACCTACCAATCTCGCGCCAGAGCAGACCATTGAGCCGCCCAGTGCTTCCAGGTTTACCATGGTGGTCTAGCTTTAATTGACTAATGATTTCAACTATGAAAATACTGAAATATTCACAAAAACCCCTTCTGATCCATAATAATATTCTCTTAATAACTTACTGAATTCATAGGACATTCATTACGTAATTGATTGATACATAATAAACATTTAATAATTAAATTTGTATAGATTGTTAATGTAGTCTTCATTGAAGTATTCATACTTTGTTTTAATTTAATTGTAGATAAATTTGTAGTTTGACTAATTGGATTTTTATGTAATAACCAAGAAAATAAAAACATCCATCGAATGGATTCATTTGGACGTTGAATTAAATAACGTGATATATAGGCAAGACCAGAAGATTTTCGTGACTAATGAATATATGGATGATTATTTAAAGTAAAAAGGAAAGATTAGTCATATAATTTTAAAAGATATATATATATATATATATATATATATATTAGATCAATGATTTTATGAGAACTAACTAGTGGAAATGAATGTTTGAGACTGAATGCAAGGGGTTAGTGGATGAACTCGGCGGGACTAAACTTTATGGACAAGCCAATCAGCTTTCGCGGGTTTTCAAGGTCACGGCGCTAAGTTCGGTACCTGATTCTTACGTACGATTGGTTTACAGCTGATTTTAGAGAAGACGTGATAATTCAGCGTCTACAAGAGAAGGGATTATTAAGAAGTTTCTATACTTGTGACTGTGGTACTCAAATGACTTTGTTCGCTCGATCATGATTAAGGTTAAGACCCAAACATTAACCCTAAATCTAACATTTCCAACGAGTTAGGAACCGACAGGCACCAACAATAAGAATTTTTGAGATCTTATCATGGCTCCAGAGGCCGACTAATATGGAGCCATATGGATGAGTTCCTGTACCGTATGCACTATGATTTTAGAACTTCTGAACCTATATCTGATCTTGAGAAGTTTTTGAGCCATGTAAAAGAACAGTATCTGCTTTAATTTTCTAGTTTTGTATAATATATTTTTACTGTATACTGTCTCCTGATTGGCTAATATTTCTGAAGGTCATTCAAGATTCGTTCAAAGGTCGTCCATAAAGTTTAGTTTCGTCAGTGAACTCTGTTAAAGAGAAACGTTGTAGCTTACTTGTTAGATACTCGACTTTAAACTACTATGTTTGCACAAGAACCAGTGTGGTAAAATCTATTTATATGAACCGAGAATAAATGGCGTAAAAACCAAACCTACGATCTAGTGTTCTAACTATTAAGCTGTTGTTTCATCTGGTCACAAATATTGAAGTGAAATGCTCATCTTTAATATAACTACTATATTAGACCAATATTTCCAAAATTTTGTGTATTTAAGAAGTTGTGTAAGTGGTAGTGGTGGTGTGAGAGCGATTCACGTATAGTGAAAGTTAAGGCGGCTTATAATAATCTGGCCATCTTTGGCGTCTCCATAATGTTAATATGGCTGTAAAACGTCGACCTGCAACGCATTAGCGAGAGCAGTTTTGCTGTATGTTGAGCAACTCCCTGTGTTTGATCATCGTTGTCTTCAGAGGATTACTAACATCCAGTGACAACATCATGCTAGTAATGTGGAGGTTCGGCATCGTGTGGTCGAGCGCAGCGACGATAATTCAATTTGTCTCACTATCTTGAGATATCGACTTCGGTGGCTTAGACATGTTCTAAGAATTTCTTCCCAGAGAATTTCACATCATATATTATTTGCCGACTATGTGCCTGGTTAGAACAAGCGGAGAGGTAGTTAGTGCATGACACGGTGTTGTGACATGAAAGAAAGCTGTACAGGACTGACTTCTGTTGGTCCTTTACGACTCCCTGGGTGGAGTCCTAGAGATGGTGAGACACAGTAGCTAGAGACGTGATCAAATTTAATTCAGAATAGAAGTCAGTGGCGATACTGCTGTAACTTTCTTTTACTTTCTATATAAACGTTAACGTAACTTTTTTTAACTGAAAGAATTCTTTCTGTTTGTATTTTTCCAAAGTGAACTGTTTCGCCCATTATTATTATTATTTCTTTCTCATACACTAATTTCTGCCCATTGTTGCTCTTCTTTTTATCTTACTCACCCTCCGTTATCTATCACTACTCTGGAATTCGTCTTGAGAATTTCATCTTGTTGTGCTAATATGTTGTATAGTTCGACAGCCATTGGAGATTATAAAGTAATAGGTAACTATATCATCCTAGTATGGAACCCCTCAGTAGTGTGCATATACAATACCACAACAGATTGAACCCAGGATATTCAGACTTTCCAGTAAACGTTTACCCTTCAGATCACTGAAATCGAGTCTAACGATTTGTATTTTTACCACAAAACCATTTTCCAATCCCATTGATGAAAAGCAAATGTTGTCTCCCAAGAAAAAAAGTTGAACTCTATTTTTGATTTACTTTCTACCAATTTGAGATGGAAAAGAGGAAGACCGAACAACATAATGTGTAAGAAATTAGAAGCAGATATCAAAAGGATTAATAGTAATTGGAAAAGATTGCCAAGGACAGAGTTGGATGGAGTTTTATTTATTTAAACACATAAATATTAGTACAAAGGGGCACCGAATATATATACGCCACACAAATCTCATTTCATTTGTGTGAGGTCTGTAATACTGCCAAGCTGCCCAAACTGAAGCAGGTGGTTTCCTTAGGGGGCCACACCTAGAGCCTTTGACCTAGAGGTCTTACCCACAAGGAAGTAAAGCGTCGTGAGAAGATGCAGTTCCATGGTAGCTGGTGATCAACGATTGATTTATACGCCACTTGTCCCCTTAGGATACTGCAGCCCATGTATATGACTGGTTTGGAACAAGGGTTTTCCAACTCCTCCAAGTGAACTTTCTGTGTCCACCAACCCGGTTAAAGCGTCGGATGTTCGCTTTTCGTCCTCTCGATTTCGTAAACAACACCCCCGCCACTGTGAGAAGGCAGTGAGTAGGACTTCCATGGCAGAGGCTATATACGCGTAGTCATGTGAGAGTATTTGGAGAGGGAGAGCGGACTCTCCCCACTCTCGGCAGTACCAGGATACTTGGATAGAGAATCCTGGTGGGTGGCCCTATGCTCCTCCATGAGGGGGGGGTAACAGGCATAAATAAATTGTAACTTTCGATGATCAAAAAAAAGAAAAACTGGAAATGATTTTACTTACAGAACATAATGATAAATATGTATTATTCATTATCCAATTATTTAATTCATTTTCAGTTAATTGTCCACCTAATGGTAAATAATTATCACTGATACGATTAGTAAATAAATCTGGTAAATTTGATAAATTTTCATATTCCATTTGTTTTTTTGATGAAATTTCATATATCAATTTACATAGAGGTGAATTCATTAGCCAATCAATATCTTGACCTAAACGTACACCGATTTGACTTAAATTATAAGCTAATGGTAAGGAAATATCATAATATTGATCCGTTGAAGATGACGACGACGATGTGGATAATTGTGCTTGTTTCATAATTCCATTTAAATAAGTATGTAGTTTTTGAATTTCTTGCATTGGACCAAAATATGGACAATTTATTAATTTTATAACTAATAATAATAAGAAACCAGCATTTGGTTGAAATTGTAAAGCAGATTTAGTAACAAATGAGCCTTGATTAAGAAGACGTTGAATTTCTTCAGTTAAACCTTTAAAATAATTAATTAATTAGTCAAAAAGAAATGGATAAATATGGAGATGCGATCAATGAATAGAGTACAAAACAATGTGATGAGATCAATAGATGGAGATTAATAATACTACTAATAATAATAAAATATTTTAACAGTTGGATTCACGAGTCGATTCAAGATAGACCACCAGTAAAGACCTGGAAGTACTGAACGGTCGTTTGGTCCTAGTAAGGGAATCCTCAGCAGCTTGTGTACACTACCCCTTCGAGCGCGAACGCTTAACCTCTAATATAGTCTTAGATCGATCCGTTATTATTATTTTAGCACATAAATATTGGTACAAACAGGCATCGAATACATATGCGCCACACAAATCGAATGAGATGTGTGTGAGGGCTGTGATACTGTCCAGGTGACCAAACCGAAGCAGGTGGTTTTCTTAAGGAGCCACACACAGAGCCTTTGACCTAAAGATCTGATTCACAAAGCAGTGGAGCATTGTGAAGAGATGCAGTCCCATGGTAGCCGGCGACCAACAATTGATTCATATGCCATTCGTTCACTCAGGATACTGGAGCCCATGTGCATGATTGGTTTGGAATCAGGGTTTTCCAACTCCCCTAGGTGAACTTTCCGTGTCCACCAGCCCGGTTAAATCACCGGACATCGACCCCGCCACGATAAGTTAGTGAGTAGGACTTCCCTGTCAGAGGCTATATACGCGTGACTATGCGAGAGCATTTCGAGAGAGAGGGCGGGCCCTCCCCACTCTCAGCCGTACCAGGGCATTTTGGGGCTAGACTCGTGAACTCAACTGTTAGAATAGAACAACCTCCACAAACCCCTGTACTGATAATAATAATAATATACAAGAGTGAAACCCACAGATGATTATCGAAGAGGAACTAAGTAATTAATTAGTTGTAAATATTGTAGTTGCCGCTCTCTCTTTGCCTTCTGATTTTACGCGCCGTTAAGATTGGTATTATGATGGTTATCAAGGTGAACTATTAACGAAGCACGGCACTACATAAATCCGACAGGTTGTTCGCCACTCGAATGGCTTAGTGATAACGTCTTAGAGTGAAAAGTCTGACACGGGGGACGAGTCCATCGAGAAGTATCAGTTCCCTTGAAATTACGGGTACAATTTGTTGACAAGTGTCAACTGGCACGAAACTTAAGTCTAGGTTTTCTTGTCAACTGTCACCAACCACCAAAAATATAGTGTACACAATGTCATGTCACTTAGACTAGAGACCACACATAGCAAATTGTTCGACAAAGTTTAACAAGCATTAAACGACTGAGACATACATGCTATTAGTCACTACTTAATGATTAATTAACTGTGGAAAAGAAACCATCGAAACCAAAACAACATGAATCGACTCTAACTCAAACAAAAATCAGTGGTAACAATGCTTTTTTTGCTGTAACAAAAAGCCAATTCACTGATCACACATAAACAATATCAGAATATTAAATACGATGAGTTATCCTTCAAAACGAACTACTAAATGTTAGTAAAGTATGGAATAATAGGATAGTCATGATGTGGAACAGGTTTGAAACTAAAGGTTTAGACTGATTTAGACGTGTCATATAAGATTCCTAACCACAGAGAGACTGAGACTCTGGAGTCTGACCTATGACATATATATTTGCTTAGCTGCCTCTAGCCTATTGTTGTGCTAACCAGTAAAATGTATAGAAATAGACAGTAACTTAAGACTTAAAATACGTATCTAAATGCCTGAATTCTACAAACGTTCATAGATTCATTAACTCATTCACTATCTCCACCTAGAACTGAATCTCTAAATTCGACATTGTTTGCCCAATGCTTCCAACATACTTTAAAGACACTTTTGGTCAATTACATGAAGTATATACATGTCCTCTACTAGGGAACATCATGTCTCACTGGCTTTACTCGTCGTTTGATAAGGGGATGAATATTCGGTCTGTATTATTAGTAGTAAATGTTGTTACCTCCCCCCAACACGTTTTAAAAAATACAATTATTAATATTTAGTCAATTAGCAATCCGCTTGGGTTAATGAAAAGCTAAAGATCATTGAAGGGATTTGTGCCCCCTGAACTACTTTACTCACAAAGGTCAAACTAGGAATTGGCATAGATCAGTCCTGAAATAGAAACTTGGATTTAGACGGAAATAAAAAGGAAAGCATCTCAAACATCTTTGCATGGTTACTTGAAATGTTCAGAAGATCTCAAATCTTATCAGAGTCTTTACCAAGCAAGATTACGAAATTTGCATACTTTAAGTTAAAAAGTGAATTTCCATGTAGGATTGTAATTCTTTGAGACGTAAGATGAAAGGTATATTACCCCGGTTTAAAATTACATCCAAGATTTTTAAAAATCAAATAAAAACAGAATATCAACACATTCGATGAACAACACCGAATGTAAGTAGTTTAGATAATAGTGTGTCATAAGTATATACCTGAGCAGTAAGTGTTCGATTAAAAGATATTCAGTAGATTGATATAGTTATTGTCAAAAGTACCCTCGATCAACAAAGTCAACTGCCACACCTTCACAGTAAGAGTTATGGTTAAAATAGAAAATCGACAAACTATGTCTGTTCAAAAACCAGTCAAATGGTATAGATAGAGATTGAGTAGTTACACTAGTGGACATGAATAAAACAGAGCTAGAGGTTTATCAGACTTGTTACTTCCAAGCCACAGTTAAGTGTTGGATGTATAAAAGAAGCTAATATCTTCCATTGTTTTTCTATGGGTAACTGCCTCACACCGTTGGATGTCAGACCAATGGTCTACAGGTTAAACTTTCACATGCAAGACCGAAAATGTTAGGTTCGATTGCCGGTTATGGGGTCGTGGATGCGCACTGTTGAAGAGTCGTATACTACGACGAAATGGTTATTCAGGACTCCCAGGTTTTCAATAATGGTTTGACTTTGATCAGTTCATGATTTTGATGAAATCCAACGGTCCCCACAACCCTTTACTCACAATATGTATCAATATAAATTTGAAAAATGAATTCAAGTTTTAACAACAACAAAAAAGTCATTTCAGAATATTGAAATCACACAGACAAATAGAAAAACAAATGTCTTACATATTAGTGATAAATTCTCTTGTGCTGGGTGATCTGGATGCATTGTAAATATAATACCTTTAGCACATGCCTCAGCTAAACTATGACAAAATGTAGAATTTGGATTTTTAGTTAAATTAAGAAGTTGTTCAGCAATTTTCCAATCAGGTGAACCACTAAAATTAAACAAAAAAATATGTTTTATTCTACAGAATAGATAGATTATGACTAAGTAATGAAATCTAGAATATGTGTTTTATCTTATCTGAGACTTAATCAACAGGATATACCTACATCATATTGCATTGATGTTTAATATTGAAACTCGAAAACCGAGTAATTTTTGTTTGAAACGACCCACAACGTGTTATCTATTGAAAATCTGAGGTCTAGATAATCTCTAGTGTGTTTAACAGATGTAATGTTTCTATCATATTGGATAAAAGTTTGAATTACTGCAGTGTTGATTGTCAACATTGAATTTTGATCAATGTTTGTTGATAATATGTACACAATAGTACAGACAATAATCAAAACCAGTTCTTAACAGTATAGGCTCACTTGCTGACTTAGAATACGCCGACGACATAGTTTTATTTGGTGAAGACGCTGACAAAATGCTACTAGTTTTCGATCATAGGTGTCTTCGAAGCATTGCTCGTATATCCTGGGACCACCAGGTAAGTAATACAGTTGTTAGGAAACGGGTGCTAGGTAAGAATGACAAATCGATTGATGAAGTAGTGGAACTTCATCAGTTGAGATGGCTGGGGCATGTGTTACGTATGCCCAACCACCGACTGCCCCGACGTGCAATGTTTCATGGTGTAGGAGTAGGTTGGAAGAAAGCTAGGGGTGGCCAGACCAAAACGTGGCACAAATCCATGAAGTCGCTGACAATTGGAATGAGCCATGCTGGTAGGTGTAGACTATCTGGTTGGGATTTGCGAGATGATAGCAATCGATGGTTGGAGACCTTGAGTGACATGGCTCAAAATCGTTTGCAATGGCGAAGGTGCATCCACTCTTTGTGTTCTACCAAATTCTAATCTTCTGAATTCCTCATGTCCCTATCCTTTTCCTCTTCCCAAATTTATCTCACTGTATTATACTCCTTCAATAACATCTTCAAACCCTAATCTTTAGGTTTACTGCTTATACTCTTATTACTTCTACCACTATGGGATTTGAATCGACAACTTCATTTCTGTGCTAATGTGGTATGGCAACTCGAACTGATGTACGTACGTACGAAGTTCTACATTGTGACTGACTGATTCATCAAAGAAGTTAACTTTGAGTGTTGAAAAGAAACAAGAGCGAGATTGTAATTTATGAACAAACAAATAAGATTGAAGATAGCAAGTCTTGGATTTCGATGTGAAATTCATTCATGGTATGGCAACTCGAACTGATGTACATACGTACGAAGTTCTACATTGTGACTGACTGACTGACTGAGAAAACAAGAAAAATAATGAAACAGTTTATAGAATACGACTGTATTCCACTTCGTTCATTTGCGTTAAGTACAAAATGTCTAGAATACAGAATTTATTTCGAGATAATATGGATAAAAACATATTTCAAATAAGAACTTGTCAATCTAGAGATGGAGAGAGAGAATGTGTGTGTATGTACCGACTGGTTCACTCAGAATATGTGGTAGAGATTGATGTTTTATACTCAATTTGATTATACTTGAATTTATCTGAATATTAGGAAATGTTAAAACGTGACTATTTTGCTTTCATAATAATCAACCTTCGGACTTATCACATAAGTAAACTTTGAGTGTTGAAAAGAAACAAGAGCGAGATTGTAATTTATGAACGAACTAATAAGATTAAAGATAGCAAGTCTTGGATTTCGATGTGAAATTCATTCATTCATATAGTTCAATAGCATTTTGGTATTATAGTTGATGCCAGTTTGTGATGAAGATTCTTACTTTAATTCCTAATCTTAGTCCTAATTCCTCATACTAATTTATAACTAACTTTCGATCGTTGTAAGCAGGTGAATTTTCTCAAGATCAACTCTGGTATCGCTTAAAGGTTGTTTAAAAATTATAATCTTATCTTTTATTTTCTCAATTATTTTCATGCTGTATATTACCAATGATCATAATTCAATTTATATCTGATTACATTAAACATCCCTGTTATCTTCTTATGGTATGTCAATATATCACGTAACTAAATCGCCAATCAGAACATCAACTTGTACGGCCTTGACTCTTTGCTAAACTAATGATGTATTAACCAGCACAAACAGTCTAGAGTCAGCTCTTAGTCCTTATTAGTTCTTCTTACTTTGCCCTACCCGTTGTATTCAGAACACAATCTCAGCTTCTATTGTATGAATCATTTATTTCATACATACGAAGTTTATATACAAACAGACCAGACTACATCATATCATGAAATGCAAAATAATGTTTGTACAAAATTAAGCCAAAAGTGGTTGTGAGAGTAAGAAACCGAACTTTAAATCCGCAAATATAGTAAGTAATATGCTGTATTCTAAACAAGTATTTGACATTACACCAATTTTTTTAATAGATCAACCAGTTTTGAGTTTTTAGGAATGTTAAGACCTTATTTTCAATCATAATCAGCTCAGAGTCTGAGTAAAAATGTACAATAGGCTAAGTTATCATTACACATCAGATGAATAACAAAGGAATGTAAATACTTGTAGTAGAAATGAGATAGTGAAAACGAGAAAAAGCAATGTGAATGTATGTATGAAGGGGGACACCATATTTATTTAAACACATAAATATTGGTACAAACGGGCATCGAATACATATGCGCAACACAAATCTTATTTGATTTGTGTGAGAGCCATGATACTGCACAGGTGCCAAAACCGAAGCAAGTGGTTTCCTTAGGGGGCCACACCCACAGCCTTTGACCTAAAGGACTTCCTTGGCAGAGGTATGAAGGAGCAATATCACTTAGTGCACATAGAGTAAGACGGAGAATGAGTGCATGTTGATCCATATGATCACTTTTGAACTAACTCGTCCATCTAACATCTCCGATCAATGATCATGATTATCACTCAAACCAAGCAGTCTACAGCTACCAACATGGCTCAGACTAATAGTCAACGACTTTATGGACTAATGTTTCGTCTCTTCAATTCGACTGCCTCAAGCTTTTTTACAACTGACTTTTACATTACACAACGAGGAATGTAGTAGTTAACGATGGATATTAGCTATAATTGAATAGTCACTATGTTTAGATGAAAATTTTGTTATGTATGCATATGAAAGACACACACAAAAATTACACTCACCAAATATATGTAATAAGAAAATAATGAGATAATACAAGACTGAAAAATGCCAATTCATTTGGATTATCACGATATGATAACTGGTTTTGTTTATTCAATAACATAACAGCTCTAAAACACAGAAGATAGAACATAAACAAACAAAATAACATGGTTATCTATAGTTTTGTCATAGGATGAGATCAGTTAGATGAAAAGAATGAGTTTGTTTGGTAACAAGGTGATTTCTAAAGCATATGTGACCGATTATCATTTCCCAATTGTCTATATTATGCAAAGATACAACTTCTTGAGAAGTCTAGAAGTAAAACTAGATTATTAGTGGTCTTGGAAACCTAAATGCACTACTATGAAGCCCAAGAAACACCTGATTGACGCCAGTTGCTTGGTGATTTAAAAGTTAAGCAACCACTTGAGAAACCAAAGGTACTGGGTTTGATTGCATGTGATTGAGTCATGAATACGTTCTGCTGAGGAGGAGTCTCATACTAGAACGAAACGACTATCTAATGCTACTGGGTTTTATTGGTAGTCCATGAATAGCAGTTAGTAATTTAAACTATGGAGATTATAGAACTTCCACATATTCCCCTATACAAATTGTGATATGTTGCGATGTTATGTATTTTCACCTACATAGTTATGTGTCTATTTATAAGTTTAAAGATAATTTTGAAAAGAGTCCTTGTGACCCTACATTCATCTAGCTTTCTGAGTTTTGGGAACATTATAAAATTGATTGATCTGTTCCCTATTCGTATGATAAATACACTGATTGGGTAAGTCAATTATTCACTATACTGGGTATGAATAGGTGTAGAGGAAAGAGTATAACTATTGAAAATATTTATAGTTCAAGATAAGAAATTCGGTGTTGTATCCTCCTCTGAATTGGATGGTTTGGTCGTAAACTTTTATTTCTTTCTAAAGCAACATTATCAGCATATTTAACCAATAAAATTTCTTCGTAGTCGACTAACTGACTTGTTGATATGTTCAATTGATTAATTATGGTTCAAAAAGGTGTGTGTGTATGTGACCATTATTGACAAGCTTATTTAGTGTTGTTAACGTGGTTTACATTCTTATGGGATTCGAACTCTTGTCATTCGTTAACAGAATAATCGATAATAATGATGATGGAAACGCAGCTGACCAACTCTATAAGAGAATCAAATCTACTTGTAGTAAGCAAAATAATTCATTACTTATTAATTAACTTATGTTAAAAAATCTTTATTCAATAACAGTATAACATCGACTTCATTCCAGTGATTGTGAGTGATCTTATTGTATAAACCGACTCTTCACTACGGATTCATTACAAATAGAATAGATTTTAGTTAGAATGTTTACATAAGAATGATTAAAATGCAAAAAATACATCTATCTTACTTTTGAAGACAATGTTTTGCGGGCACGGAATATCCCACCAATTGGAGTAAAATACCCCGATTATGCCATAACCGTACATTATTAGGCTGGAAAGCTAAACAATAAGTTGATAATAAGCAAACATAAAATTAATCCATTTAAATCAATAGTTATAACTTTACATTACAAAGTTAACTTCACGTCAATAAAAAAGTGACTTCTAATGAGAATCTGTAATTAGTGAGGTTTAATCGTGTGAAATGTGAGGTAGTTGGTCACCCACGCCATAGTGCTCCGATATCACAAGTTAATTGAATTTAAAGATGCGAACCATTGTATGCCAGTTTAGTGGTGGTGCTTAAAGGTTAAGTGTTTACCGCGAGATCTGAAGATCCCAGGTTCGATCCTTAGTGTTGAGATTGTGAATGCACACTATTGTAGTAGAGTCCTATACTAGAAAGATATAGCTATCCAGTGCCTCCTGGTTTTCAACAACTGTTTAACCAAAGTCAGTACGTGATGTGGAACTACAAAATTCAACAATTTTCACAAGCTCTCTATAAAATTAAAAAAAAATCGTTTTAATCCAACAAATCTTAATCTACACTGAAAGCAAATAATACAGTTTGATAATCACAGATACAAAATAATGGATTTATTCTTAACCTCTTACGTAATATGTGACAATCAGACGTCAGGCTTTATTACTCAAGAGCTTATAATATTTATTAGTCAATTATTGACTAGCAAATACATTCATTTTTGTTCACATCTTACAGATATAATTCGTAGGACAGCTGATGTAGATTGCTTCAATTTAAAGCTAGTTAGCTAAGTGGCAGTGTCTCAGACTGTGAAACTGGGTAACACGGGTTTAAATCCTGTAGGAAGCATCAGTCCCCTCAAGATTATAGGTACCATCCGTTGACAAATACCAGTAGTAAATAAAAGCCATACGCTTTGTACTCATAACATTAGTTTTGACCATGGCCTATTTCAGAACAATATCAAAATACGCCAGAATTAATGTATGTGAAGTAAACTGTTTAAACTGACGTGTAGGAACTGTATATATCGGCATTAGACTTGGAAAAAACCGCCTGACACAACAGTTTCAAATATAATAATTATTATCATCTGATTATATGTCGATATTACTATAAAATAAGTAGTACGACACAAGTAATGATTAAACTAACCGATAGCCCGATTTAAACATTCTATAGCCACATTGACAGATAGGCGTAAATGTGCTCGTTTATCGAAAACCTGAATTAATTGTGACATATCTTTTGATGGACAAGATGATGCTGATGGATCACAAAGGAAATTAAATCCAGAATATTCAATAATTATAGGCATCAAATGCAGTGTAAGCTGTGAAGCTACTTGATACTAAAATAAGAGGAAGTGAGAGAAAGTAAATGATGTGTAAAAACAAGAAAAACCTCTATAGTATTAAAAATGAAGTTTAGCAATTAGTATTATTGAAAAAAAATTACATCGAGATTGTTTTGATATGAAGTAAAGCCATCAACTCTGCCTGTAGATCTTCTAGAGCTACTGCCGGTCCCAAGCCCACGCAAACGGTAAGGGTTGGGCATGGGGTCGGCAACCGCATTCCGTAGAAAATCTTGCTAAGAAAAACGCCAACCAGACTAAACAAATTAAATCATTTAAACTCTGCCCTGGGAGTTGGGGGAAGAATTATGACGCCTCATGATGAAAGCCGAGATTCTTCGGAAGTCAAGAGGCCGATACCTCTTCTAACAATCAGAGAAACACTCTTTATAGGTACATGGAACGTCTGGACAATGTAGGAGACCGGGAAGACCAGACAAATAGCAACGGAAATGAGGAGATACGAATTGGCAGTACTCGGAATAAGCGAAACCCATTGGACACAAGCTGGACAGAGAAGGCTAGGTACAAGAGAGATGCTACTGTACTTCGGTCACGAAGAGGAAAATGCTCCACACACTCAGGGAGTTACTCTAATGCTGTCCAGAGAAGCACGAAATGCACTTGACGAATGGGAATCTCATGGATCTAGAATTATCAAAGCATCATTCAAAACAAAGAAGGAGGGGAGCACAATGAATGTTATTCACTGTTATGCACGCACCAATGATAGCAACGATGACATTAAAGATCAGTTCTACTTGAGGCTGCAACCAATCATAGCGAAGTGCTCAAGAAAGGATCTAACTATCCTGATGGGAGATCTAAACGCTGAAGTCGAGGTGGACAACACCGGATTTGAAGATATAATGGGACGACATGTACTGGGAGAGAGATTTGCAAATATATGTGTATTTAACAAATTGGGTATAGGCGGCACAATATTTTCACACAAACACATACACAAAGCTACATAGATCTCACCAGACCACACCACAGAAAACTAGATAGATCATATTTGTATCAACAAAAAAATTCAGAAGGACAATGGAAGATGTGAGAACCCAGGGAGGAGATAATATAGCTTCAGATCACTACCTGGTGGTGGCCAAAATGAAACTGAAGCTAAAGAATTTTTGGGAAAATGGATAAACAGCATTACAATGGTTTAATACAGATTTCCTACGATATACTGACAAACTCAGCGAATTCAAGATAACTCTCAACAACGGGTTCCAAGCCTTACAAGATCTACTGAAAGAACAACGAACTACGATGGAAGACAACTGGATAGCAATCAAAGAAGCGTTAACTTCAACGTGTCAGGAGGTTCTAGATACTAAGAAGCATCATCATAAGGAATGGATCTCTATCGAAACCCTGTTATGGATTCAAGAAAGGAAGAACAAGAAGGCAACAACTAACAACAGCCGAACAAGAATAAAGAAAGTCAAATCATAAGCTAAATATACGGAAACAAACAAACAAACGAAGAATAGCATTAGAGCTAAAAAGCAGAAATACGTGGAAAAAGCTGCTAAAGAAGGAAATATGAAACTATATAACACGACAATCGTTTCATTTTATTCAGAAATTATGAATCTCATGTTTACTCCTTCAAGTCAAGAAAATCCTTAAGATCATCTTGAAGATAATTTTTCTGTTACTATAAGATACAATCAACTGCAGTGATAAATGTACACTAGCAATTACTAGCTTTGAGAAGAATTTTGCGTAGATTTAGAGAGAAGTTATGGTCGACAAAAAACACTCTTGTTAAAGAAAATGATATATATGGTGAACATTGATGTTAATGAATGGTTGTAGTTGCATTAATAAACCAAAGTGATTATAGTTGGAAATGTGGAGATAATAGGGATGAGGGGATTCCTACTCAATGGTTTTGACATTATTCCAGGTTCATTGACCAGAGACCATACGTAAAGTAATCAACAGTGACAGAGAACCAATCAGCTAATAGGAGAGGAGGAAATCGAGAAATGACATTGGAGATGGATATGATACACTTCACAAAAACCATTAAACTGAACTACAAAACAAGTCTTAATCTGATATACTCAAGGCAAAAAGGAAAGAAGGCAGAACAAAGAACACATGGTGGCGTGATTTGTAGACAGATATCAAGAGGATGGATGAAAAGTGGAAACTGCCAGAAAGGAGAGGCTAGGACAAAGTTGTTTTAAGATTCCTGGTCGATGGCATACGCCCAAAGAGGGGTAACATGTTCAAGTAAGGGAGATACCAATGTTATTCGTAACACATTAATAATAATAACAAATTCCTATTACTAATGAATTTAAACAAATAATATACTCAGCTGTAAATTTTCGTAATTTCCCGTTGCTAATATTTAGGCCATAAATTAATTGGTCAGTCTATGTTGGTATACGTGCATCTTAACCAGACGCCTTAAATATATTTAAAAAACAATGAATAACTTCATATTCCGTTGGACAAAGCAGTGATTGACCTAATGAACTCAATAGATCAGTGGGTAACACAATGGCGTTCGAAGCGATAGATATTAGGTTCCAGTCTTCAAGTGAACAAATCAATTGAAGAGTCCTCAAATAGGATGGAATACATGTAATAAATTCCACTATTAGTCACACTTTTGAAATATATCAAATGCATTCAAAAATAAAACACACATTTGAACCGGTATACGCAGCATGTATCAAATGACTCAACACTTCCGTATTGACTAATAATCCAGGACCGATCGACGGAGTACCAGACATGACAGCAGTCAATTGAGCTGAAACAAGCCAAACTCTAAAATTATCTGGATCAATCGCTTTAGCTTGTTCTACCAAATTAACTGCAAGCTTAAAATAAGGGAAAAACAGTTAAATGAACAGAATGAAAATAAACTTAGAGTTTTTATTAATTTTGATCTGTTGTACAATGTATCAATACATACACACGTACCCACACATATAACTCTATGAAACAGGCTACTATTATTTGATCATAAACGTTTTTATGTAGGCTGGAGACCATCAAGTAAGCGATGCTGAGGTTACATGAAGAGTACTAAGTAAAGATGGCAAAACAGCTGATAGAACCGTTAATCTTCATCATGGTTGCGACAAGTATCATGTATGCCTAACAATCGCGTTCCTCCTGAAAGAATGATATCGATTTCGAAGGAAGAGAATGGAAATAAGATACGGGATAGTGGCAAAACTAAGAAATGATACTAGTTTACAAAATCTTTGACTACTACACCGATACACGTTGGTGATTGTCATAAACTATGGTAATGTTGGTTGATATGTCTCAAAATTGCTTACAATGACATAAATGAACATTTACTTTGTGTTCCCTTAGATTGTAAATTGAAAAACTATTTTAGGCCTTTTTCAAGTATATTTTATTATTTCTTCTCGTTGTTGTTATTTTCTACTGTTCTAGCATTTGCCTCTAGAACTTCATTTCTCTATGCTGACATAGTGTGGTAACTTGAATTGATTGATATTTTTGTGCTAACTCTATGTGGATTATGAATAACGAACTATTCATGGAAAATAAGATTAAATATGTACATACTAATACTAGGGAAGAGTGTAATGATGACAATACTATTACTTATCAAAATAAGATAGGTAAAATTCATTAAAAAACTGTTTTAAAATCTTTTACTTAAATGATTCTTAATGCGTGTAACCAATGAAAGCATACTGTGATTGGCCCAGTGAACTAACACAAACAAGATCACTCTGTAATTGTAGTGGACGCTACTCACAATGATATTTGTAAGTGGTGTGCAGCGGAACGTGGTGTCGAAATTAAAAAAAAAGCCAGACGGAGTGAAAAGTTTCGGTGCAGCGAAAGCACGGCGTCGACAGAACACTTGGAGATCAAGCGAGAAGGCAGTTCAGATGACAGAACATACTGAGGAATGCAAATGGACGATTGAAGGCTATGTATACGTATTATGCAAATTGTAACTTCTCGCGATAAATATACAATAGTATAATTGCTAAATGCAAATGAACAGTAACATATTCACCAAAATAATGGGTACACAAATCATTCGTATATATACAATTGTGTTCCTGACACAGATAATGAGATGTAGGGTGAAACATTGAGTAGGAGCATGATCGACTTCATCTGATTGCATCATACCTAGTGCTTGATAATCAGGCGGGAATATAAGCACAGAGACGCGATATACGTAAAGACTCGCATATGATTTTCGACCAGTTACTAGCCGCAGGATCGAAACCTTACCTACTTAATTCAGTTTGAATGACTGAAAAGTATTATTATTCATCATATACAAACGAAAAGTACAAGTCGAAAGTGAGTACTACAAAGCTGTACTCAATAAACGTAAGATATTATATTAGCCCAAATAATAACTCATTCACTAGGGGTAGTACAAATTCGAGTACTTGACTTCGAGTTGCACTTAGGTGTGAGGGGGCTGATGATACTAATCCGGTTTTCCAGAGTGAAATAGCAGAAGCAGAGGACCTAAAAAATATGAGCTAGTGACTAAAAGTTGAACCGCTGAATAAATGGTTTACATATTAGACTAAATATATTTGACATTTAACATAAACCGGAAGAAAGAGGACAGAAGAAATTTCAAAAATCACAACTCCATAATTGGGAAAAGTGAGTGTGACAGTAAAATAGATTCGAATTTACACAAAAAGAAAATTACTTCAGTTTGACCCTGTTTCATTTGTAGCATTGCCAAATTAACCATGACGGTGGTATTCTATGGGGAGAAAAAAGTACATAAATGAACATAACGGGAAGAGTTCAGAATTAGGAAGATAGAGGTTGTCAGAAGTATAGAATAACACTTCCTTTTAAGTATAACAATTAATATTAGACTTGGTAATTTCAAATAAACTGACCAATGAGCAGATTATATACAATTTATTATCTACTCAATAAATATAGGGTTTTGTGGAGATCCTAACATTTTTCAGTTTCTTTTAAATTACGAACTGATCTTCGATAGGCCATCATTGAGAAAATGGTAGCACTGGATGAGCGCTTCGTCCTAGTAAGGAACTCTTTTTCAGCAGTGCAAACACATGGCCCCAACACATGGAATTGAATCCAGGAGCTTCAGGGTCGCAAGTCAACGCTTAACCTATAGACCACAGTTAATGGAAGATGGTCACATAATACTGGGGTTATGAATGAGCACTAATAAGGAGTCCCATACTAACACGAAACGGCCTTCCACTGCTTTCCGGTTCTCTATGATGTTCTAGTTAAGATCAGTTAATGGGTTGAAAAAATGTAGTATTAATAGTATTATTATTATAACAGGATGCATAATTATTAGTTTGTATACCTAATGTCTGAGACATTAGGATCAATACCATCTAAACCTCGATAAAAAGACGTTTTCTCAAGTAGTATGGAACCTCAGGTTTGACGAAGTTGAATATACTCAAAAAGATAGGATGATTGATACTCAACTCATAAGCCTTTTTTTCTACAAATGAAAACTCAGCATTCGATTGAATGAAGACCTTAAAGAGAGAGAGAAATATATTAAACTAAGTGATGATATTATAAATACTGGGATGTTGAAAACATGACAATAATTACGTGCTAATTTACTGACTGGTACGAAATTGTATCCTCAACGTTTGAGTTACACTTTACTTGTAAGGACTGATGATATTAATTCATGATGGTTACTTCACTTTCTACACAACTTTCCTACCTTCATTTCCTTATAATATTTATGGTAACCATAAAAAGAGAATATTAAAAACAAACTATGAATTGAAACATACATCAGGATTATAAAGCAATGCTTGACAAAGACAATAAGTAATTTCTGAATCCAAGTTTTCTAGAATTGTAAAACAACAAAAAAGACAAGAATAGTATTAATATACAATTGTAATCATAATAATAATAGACCTTCACAAGAATGACTAACGTATTGGGTATTCCAGTTAGCATACGGTGAGTTCTAATATAACAATCAATTACAACTCGAAGAGACTGAATGTCTGTCACATAACAAACTTGGACTCCAATAAAGCGATAAAAAAGACAGAACTTTTAGAGTAGCTTTAAATTCCGTACAGAAGTGAAAAGGAACATCCAATGATCTCGGGGCACATAAATTATCTAACAACCTAAAACCGAAAACGGCCAATCAGGTAACAATTATTTTGAAAATTTGGATTACAGAAAAATGTCGTCAAGGATATTCACATTTTAAAGAAAGAAACGTACATGTAATAACTAAAGGAAAACTGAATAATTTGACCTCGCCTAAGCAATAAGACAAAATTTAATGAAATATGAATATTGAGAGTTAGACTTTTTAACAATAGTCCTAACGATTGCTGACACAGTGATCAGCAGATTAGAGTTATGTGAAATTAATGGTTAATTTTAGTATTTTTAATCTTGATTTTAATTTATCTCTAATTGATCATGTACATGATTTCAACTTCTGATACAAAATTCACTGAATAGACAATGAAAGTTCCCAAGCTTTTCCAAACATTAGTGAATAGTCAATGTTAAACAATATTCATGTGAATTTAATCTGAAATAACTTGGATTATCCCGTTGTCGATATTTGATTGAAATTTGATCAATCTTGGTTGGGAAATGGGCTTCCTGTGAAAATTGCCTCGATATAGAGACTAAAACACAAGTTAATATAGAATAGATTAAAAGTGGCTAGCAATGGGATCTAGGACATATTTTTCGTCTCATTTTGGACTCGTCAACTGAACGTGTCTGCATCTCAAAGTTGAGGTTTACTCCGACACCCAGTATAGTTCGCTTCAAGTGATTAGCTATCTGTATTCAGTAGTTAAGTGGATAATGTGGTGGCGTTTGAAGGGAACGGTACTGGATTTGAGTACCGAAGTGAACATCAACTGTCATACGCAGGTACATCCAGCTGACATGTGGTGAATGGGATGAAACGCGCATCCTGTAGATTCCAATGTTAGCCACATTCCATCTATTTAGTGTTAAATAATAGTATGGTTATATTGATTTGATTAGCAGAATAAATTATACATCCAACAGACTAAGATCATCAATCTTATCGTAATAGGATTATGAAGAAACAATATAATCCACAAAAAATATCAATCTAAACAAAAACCATTTTTCCTTTAAAACAGTAATGTATATATGCATTTGAACTATTATTAAGATATTAACGATAAGTAAAGTAATTGGCTTATTTGATGTTGTACAAATTAGTGTAATTGTATCATGAACTAATGAGATCAAGTATAATCACTTAGTTAGTTAGTTAGTCAGACAGTCAGCTAATCAAAAGCATCGTAGGACATGGTAAATATATGAGTTGGATCAAATCACTACAATATATAAGTTTATTTAGCCGTTGTCTGAATTCCAATATGATTGAATTGTTAATGATGTGGATGAAATATAAATCGTACTTATATTGTATATATTCTGTTCATATATCCTGTTAATAACAACTCGAGTATAAAAATTCGAATACTAATGTTTCGGATGTTTATATTGAATAGATTCATTTCAGGAGACAAAGAGATGAAAAACAGAGAAGGCAGATGTGTCTACTCAAAATATTACTTATTATAAGAGTTAATATGACTCAAAATAGATAATACATATTAGAACAAGGAGACAGGTATTGGATAAATATATGTTGAGACACACATGTATACACTGAAGCACACATGAGGTATATAAATGTAGAATTGGAAGGGTTTGAATATGAGATATATATGTAATGAATTATAAGCAGAAACGGATGGTGGCTAACAGTGGAATCTAGGACGGGCGTATTGAATGTCACGATTTCCTAAGAAAAAAAGCAAAGATGACACAATGGTCACACGTGTCTATCCAAAAGTTAGCACCAATCTCATGTGGTCGTGTGATAACATGAGAGCTGTTACATTAGCACAGAGAGATAAAATTCCCAAGATGAATATCAAAATAGTAGTAGTAAAAGTATCAATGACAGAACAAAACGTTAGATGTAAACAGAATTAATTGAAAAAAAGAAAACATTCACGAAACAAAAGGAATAAGTATTTTAAGGCAAAGATTAAATGTATTGATGCTACTGTGACTGGTTCCAAACCATATGTTATCCAAAGTATTTAACCTCCATTGATCATAGTTATCGCGCTGACCTTAAACAAATTAGTTTGCATTTATCAACATGACATAAATCCAACAGTCAACGATTTTATTAACTGATGTCATGTCTGGTTTTGGCCACAACCCCTAACTTTCTGTCAACCTACTCCTACCATAGTAGTAGTAAGAATATCCAAAATAATTAAAACAGAATGAATTATCAAACCATGACTTAATTACTATTAACTATGCCTAACCATAACCTACCTCGACGGTATACGTTTGGAGGAAACGAAGGCAGACCAAACTAAAAGGTGAGGATCAATCCAAAAAATCACTAGCTGTTTATTCAACTGATGTTAATCGATGCAAACTATCTGCCTAGGTTTCGCTTAATAACTGTGATCACTGATTAGGTGCTATATGATATGGCTTAAAAATTGCCAAAATGGAGATCCATTCACTCTTTATATTCTCCTCTAGATGTCAAGCTCCAACATTACTTCATATACAACTTTTCGCTCAATCCCTTCGAACTATATTATAAATCAGATGGGGGTTTTGTGGAGATTTTAGTAATTTTATATAGTTGATTGACTCATGATCTCAACTATATATTATAAATGTTTGATTTTTCTCACTATCGCTTGTAATACATTATTTTGATGCTTTACTAATCATCTTATCAATTTCATCTTTTTAGGTAACGGTATATATGTCACAGACTTTATACTGACTAAAACTAAGTGACTGATTGACTGGACTATTCATATTACACACAAATAATAGGGAATAAAACTATTTAGGAGATCCAGAATATTCCTCAAAAAAGCCCAGAAGGGGCATGAAAACGCTGGAAAACATTTTATTTACTAGAAATTTATCAGCAACATCTACAAAGTAAAAAGTCACGTGTCACATTCCTGGTTGGATGATTAGCTATCATGTTACTATGTTTAGTAGGGATCTAGAAACTTCCAGAATCCCAAGGAAATCCGAAATGCTACAAATATCCTCAATTTTCTGTGCATTAACCTTGGAGCAAAGCTTTCTTTCCATATTTCGCTCTTTTTCTCTTGTATTCAAGTTGTTGTGTAGAGTTTACTTGAAGTAATTAAAAGACCTTAGGAAAGTAATTCAAGCGTTTAATCAGAAGATTTATCACAACCTCAAATTAAGAACATGACGACAACCACAAAAAGAAAATTTTTTTTACCATCACTTGTTGAATAAACACCAGCTAATGAAGCCCATGCACGTGATTGAAGTTTTTTAATTAAATTAATACGATCACGTATATCTTGTTCATCAATTTCATCATCAGTTGTTATTGTACTTGGTTCATGTAAACTTTTCTCTTTTAATATTTCTTCTAATAATTCACCATAGATACTAGATAAATTATCTAATAATTGTAATGCATTTTTTAATGTTGATTCAGATAAATAAAATAATTCATTTGGTATCATAATGAAATTGAATGGTTCAACAATATGATCTAATTGATTTGTTTTAATGAATGATTCCGGCGAAATATTATTACGTTGTATATAATAACCTTGATTAAGTTGATTAATGCCTAAACTAATTAATATAGAACTGATTATTAATAATTTCAATGGATCCGTTTTAGTTGTCGATGTAGTAGTAGTAGTGGTACTCGATTCAGCATCTTTATTGCTAGAGAGTACATTTGGATCTAATGAATGTGATGGATATCGAATTGAACTGATCGATGTACGAAGAGCACAGGCTAGATAGCTGAAATAATAATAATCATAAAGAATAGTAAAAATATATTTTAAGCGTTTGAGGAGACTTAAAATTCAAGATTTACATCACTGGCAGAGTTCAGTTGAACAACTATTAGAAAACCAGGAAATACTTGATATATAGTACGCGGATCCTTAACGGTACTTACCCATAACCCTATAAAGTGAAACGTAACACTGTAAGCGCTCACAAAGAACAGTTAACCTTAAGACTATCAAGTCTGTATCCAATGGTCAAACATTTCTAAGTTTAATTAATTCTCCACATTGTGTAACCAATATCCAATGTCACTAGTGGGTCAAACATTCAATATGGATGAACTCCAGCGATCATGGTTTTTCACTAGAACTCCAGGATTAAGTTATCCAAATTAATTAGACATGTAAATTATTGGATACTGACTCAGTGGTCTAAAGCTCAAACGCAGGCCATGGGGACTGAGTTCAATAACTGGTGATGCTGATGTGCAATACTGAAGAGTCTCGAACTAGGAGAAAAAAAACTGAACAGTACTTCCTAGGTTTTTAATAATTTTCTAAGACCAGTAATTAGCACTCAATACGGAAATAATTAATAGTTGAAAAATATCAAATGTTAATTTCGTGGTAAAATTAATTTTTTTTTAGTTGGGCATTTTAGCATGGCAGTGATCAAGTTGATTAAGATAAGGAGAGAAGTGAATTATTTGAAAGAACCCCCCCCCAATATAGGTTATCGATTTAGGTGGAGACACTAATATTAAAGCAGTATATTTGAGAAACTCTTGGTTTGAGGAAAAAACACCATAACACTAGGTGTAATTTAGTTAGGGAAATCAGAAAAAATCCACATTCAAATATGCAGTTTGCCACATACTATTTAAGGTTAAGAAAGTCATCGTCACAAAAGATGTATATTAGCATTATGAGTTATGTAACCTGAGCAATAAAATGCACGTTCATATCTTTGGCCTTGAGTCAAACATTTTGTGTGTGGGAGATACAGTTATTGACACCACCTATGGTAATTTGAATGGAAGTAAATGAGGCGTGAATTGTACCGATAACCTAATGTTTAAAGGTTAAGCGCTCGAAACACCATCATTTACGCTATACATAGATAATTGAAGCCCACGTAGATTTATATTCTAATCTTTAAGCCAATGTAGTTACTCAGTAATTAGATAAAGATACTTACTATCTGACATCTAAACTCAAGTGAATAGTGAAGAGTGATTTGACTTGGCAATTCCATTAGTTAAATAGTTCTCAAGGTTAAGCGCTCGAAACACCATCATTTACGCTATACATAGATAATTGAAGCCCACGTAGATTTATATTCTAATCTTTAAGCCAATGTAGTTACTCAGCAATTAGATAAAGATACTTACTATCTGACATCTAAACTCAAGTGAATAGTGAAGAGTGATTTGACTTGGCAATTCCATTAGTTAAATAGTTCTCAACTCAATTATTTACATCCGGAGAAATAAATGAAAATTAATTACTTCTTACTACTTATATTAATAATAGTAGCAATAATAATTAGAAAGAAAAGAAAACATTGAGACATACATCCCACCAAGGTGAAGACATGTGACAATATTAACTTTAATCGTTTCCGTAGGTTCCTTCGATTCGGACAGATATTGAGCACCATTCATTAAAGAAACTAAACGTGTCGGGACATCGATTCTATGTATTTAAAGAATAACAATAAATCAAAATATGAGTGAAAGAACAATCATAAATAAATTAAGAAACAGTAATGATATAAAATCAAGAGCTAATTGGATTAACGCATATTAAGTGTTAAAATTGAAATGTATTAAGCTTGAGTCCTTGTATGAACATCAACAATGTGACATGGCAGGTACATTCAGCTGATGAGGACTAAATAGGATGAAACTCATATCCTGTAGGTTACAATGCTAGCTATATTACATCTATTCTCAAAAAAATTTGTGACATAATGGATATATAGAGGTGATCCATATCCATACAGGATGTATATATACAAACTAAGATTGATCGAAATTTAGTCAAGAATATCAATAAAGCACTAACAAGTGATCAACCATTTTATAAATATTTATTTAAACCTCAAGAATACATATAACACACTTTCAGCATTATAATGATCACTAATTTGAGCGATAACAACAAAAAGAACACTTACAATAACAAACGAGAGAAAAACAAAAAATCGACAGCTTACAATAGTTCGGGATCATCAATCATAGACAATAGGCTGAGGATATCACCTGTATATCGGAAAAACCAGAATGGTACAACTTTGGAACCGACAAAATAATTCAATAACCTGGAACGAAAACCAGTAGAAACAAATTACCATAAAAAAATTTTCGATTTTATTAGTGTGCTTGAACACGTTTAAATGTTGGAAAACAATGAATATTTAGATTGATATCATGAATGGATCCACGTTAAACCACCACTAAAAACCTGCAAGCACTGGACGGCCATCTCACCCTATATGAGACTCCTCAGCAGTGTTCATCTACGATCCCGCCCGCTGGACCCGGACCTTTGGTACCGCGCGCGAACGCTGAGGAGTTCCATACTGGGACGAAACGGCTGTCCAGTGCTTCCAGATTTTCAACGGTGGTCTAACATCGATCTATTCATGACATTAATCTAAACAATCCCGAAATTGAAGTGAAAAATTACATATGCTTTTTTTCTTTTTTGGCAACGATTGAAGATGTTCGATTTCGCTTGTTATTTTATTACTATTTTAGTAAACATGTAATCGGTACGAAAATTTTCTTGCCTATTTCAAAACAAAAAGAACTAGTAATGTTTTCAGTGTTCACTATGATGAATCTTGCTAATAACAGGTTTAAAACTGTCTCGCTAGCCGGTTCCGATATCCCAAACTATTATAAGTCAACTGGAAAACTTAAGGGAAAATGATAATTGCGAGTAAAATTTTTACTTGAGGTTAGTTCATGTACGGGAAATCGAGGGTATTCATGGAATTACACACGATTTTGAACCTCTGAAAATTTCTGGAATCGTACTAAATCTGACAGTAGCATAGGTAATTATCCAATCAAAACTGTGACACACGATTCTCACTTTTCCAGATATTTCTGCGGAGATTCTATTCATAGCTGGCTGGATAAAACGTTTCTTGGAGTTTCTGGCCTTCTAGAGACTTTGACGAGGGATAGTTTTGAGATTCATCTAACATAACAGGTGTGCTATAAGCAGTACGGTTATCAGCAATTACTCCATCCGTTTTATCAGGTAGGTGGTTTATTGTAGACTATAGTGTACTTTCTAGTACGTAATTTATTTAAAGCATATTGTTTTAATTCGCCAAGTAATATACTCTATGGTAACACGTTCATAGAAAATAATTGTGAATGATTATAGATGCATGAAATGAAATCTTCGATGGAAATTACACCTCAATAGGTAATAGTCACCTAGCAAATGGACGGCAAAAGAGTTGGAATTACTGAAAAGGACACATGTATTGGACATTGAGGAAGTTGTGAATAATAATTCACACAAGGTAATTTCAACTACTTATCTTAAAGAAATAAGTCATGTATACTTGGCATCCTAGAGCCTTGACTTAATCATTCATACTAACCGATTTAACTTAGTGAATTAAACGTGGAAATTATCGTCGCGCAATTATTGGTAACGTAATTTCGCAATTTATATGCATATAAGCAAATAAGCTAAAAAAAAGGTGATGAAAATGAGCAGATTATTTTGAACCAATGTTGGTTTATGAATTTGTGTGTCAATATCTTATTGTTGCATTTCCAAAGTTAAAATTACGAGTCTAGACCACCAGTGAAAACCTGGAAGGACTGGATGACCGTTTCGTTCCAGTATTGGACTTCTCAGTAATCCACAACTACGACCCGTCACGAGGGACTGCTAAGCGGAAAATAAACTAATCGGAACTCTGGGCTGCCCGTACTGGTGTATGCGTCATTAGTTTGGTCTTATAAGTCAGACCATCTAAATTGGCAATCGTATTTCGCCATATCATATAAGCTAAAGACATAACAACAACTACATCATTCTTGACCATAATTAATTCTTTTTTTTAAAAAAAAAACATACTTGTTTAACAAGGTTAAAGTATGATGTAAATCGTTCAACGCTTGACCAGTACATCCTTGATACATGCCAGATTGACATTTGAATATATGAATTTCAACCAGTTCTATTTAGCATTGAAAAAATACGAAACAATATTTTGTTTAGATCTATTCAAAGTATCCAACTACATAATTAAGATATGTGATAAGACAATGATTTAACTGAAAAAATGAATCTATCATTACAAAAAATAAATGTCAAGTAATTTTCAAATGTCAATTCCCGGGATATCTGCGACGATTAACGCGTATGAAATGTATAAAGAGGGAAAGATTACTCTTTGAATTAAATTACGTAGGTATTTATTACAACATACAATAGTGTAAATAACAGTCTGTAGTTTTATTTCAAAGGAGTATAAGATGTATCTTTATGGTAGATTGATACTGTTTTGTAGATTATATCCACTGACTTCATGAAAACTAGGTATGTCTTTTAGTTTAGAAATACATGGTAATTTGGAGTTAATGCCAAAAAAGATAAAATACAACTGTTGTATCACAAACAGAATAAATTTAAGCACATCTTTTTTGATTAATGACTGTTTGTATTGGAAATTCTCAAAATATTCCTAAGAAAAATTAATAGCTATCTGGAAAACGCTTGGAAACATTTTATTCGATCAGGTTTGATCACAAGTCTATTCAATACATCTAGACGGATAATAGATCATGTGTCCTATTTTGATTGGATAATTGCCTTACTATTACTATATTTAGTATGTATCTGGAACCTTATAGACGATTAAGGTCAGATTGGATAACATAAATACGCAAAATTTCCTGCACATACCATGACCTTTGGGTAAAGCTATTTTTAGCACTTCGCGCCTTTTACCTTGTATTTAATTTGCTATGTAGATTTAGTCTGAGGGTATTAGAAGCGGCTAAGAAATTGGACTGAGTGTTCAATTAGCAGACTTATCAAATTGTAAGACAATAAACTTGTGCTACTGATCGTCAGTAATACATAGAGTTCAATACTCGAGAATAACTTCGATAAGAATAAATGTATTGCCCAAAAATCACTTTGATTCCCTGACTTTCAAAGAGAGCAATTACCATATCTAAAAAGCTTATGCACACAATTTTCAGGATTACTAATTTTATTTGTCCCATGATATGGTCGACTGTGGGGTCAATCGTGAACATCAGCTCCAGGATCCTGAGGGTAAAAATGGCGTATCAACCTATTGTTGGTCACTGGCTACCCTAAGGACTGTATCTCTAAAAGTTGCTCCATTACCTTTTGGATTAGATTTCTGGGTCAGATGCTCGGGGAGTAGCTCCCTAAGAAAACCACCTGCTCCGATTAGGGCACAGCCCTCACACAAATCAACGATAACTACTACTGACCTCATTGTTACTGTGTGGAGCATATATATATTTGGTCCCCCCCTTGTACCGATGTTTATATGTTCAAGTAAATAAAAATAAGTAAATTTAATCTTAATGAAATTGTGCAACATACAAGATATCGGAAATACACCTTTACAATAAAATAGAGAAAGAAAAACAAATTAATACAAATTAAACACAGAGATAATTAAACAGACAAACTAACCTTTCATAATCAAGACATAGAATTTTCTGTATAATCGATCAATCATGTAATTGTCTTCAATCATTTTTAGAGCATTATTAAAACAACAAAGTGATGAGTAAATATCATTCATATGACGATAAGCTCTTCCACATCTGAATTTTAAAAGAATTGAATACATGATTGTATAATAAGAAGAACAATTTACTACTGATAAGAAAGAGTAACTTCAGATTAATTAGACAAGTAGACAGTTAAATCTGACGTCAGGCAATTGAAATAGTTAGTAGAAATTGCTAAACCCAGATCTTGTACAAATTGGCACTCGTGCAATTGTATTATTCAAAGAGTAAATGTGCCCTGATACAGTCTTGGAATTCGCCACAAGACTATCCAGCACCTAAATGATTAGATAGATATGATACTGACAACTACTTAGTGAATGAGGTTATGCAACTAACTCTACATGTGTTAATGTTGATATGAATAAAATAAAGATTGAAATGTTAGCAGGTAAGTTGAACCAATAACCCTAGTTTATGTGTTAAAAAGAAATTCATGAAAATCTTGTCCCTTCTTTGGCTAGATATGAATTAACAATTTTTATTTAAAGATCCTCACTTTACTAAAACAAAGATACGTGGCTCAGTAAAAGCGTATTACGAAGATGGTTTTATTTTATCTAAACTGATTCAGACGAACCAAATACGGGTAACACATTATGACCAGTAATTTTTAACGATAATCTACTAAGTTATACGTCATTTGTCAAACGTGATTAGGCCTCAAATGTTGCAAACGGTAGAAGTAATTGCATTATGATTTTTTGTTGTTGAAAAAAAACCGAACGTTTTATTCAAAAAAGGAACTAATCCAGATCCATTTTATACCTTGACCGATCTAACTACATAATAGTTATTTAAGCGATAAATCGACGAGATGATAAACCTCATCTATTTTCCTCTACGTTTTGTTCTCATACATCTGAACACTTACCTAGCGCTTCACTTAATTTCATTCTGTTACGTAACCATTGACCGATCAATAATTGATCTGACTACTAAATATGTTACTATTGCATTATTTATCCTACATTATCTATATTTATTCCTATTATTATTATTGTTATTATTATTATCACAATTTCATTTGATCTATTAACATGATTCTAGTATATACTCTACGCCAGTGAATTAAACATTTACAACACGAATTAAAATTCATAAAGTCGATTATTAAAAATTCATTAACCTTAAAGTCAATTTAAACGTGGGACTCGTAACAGATTGACCTCAATTAGAGTATCATTGAAAATCAGAGAACATTGAACAGCAAATACGAATTCAAGAGAGACCATGGATACGAATAGCCCCACAGCATTTCTTGGATACTATCCGAACTGATGTAAATCTGTGGCAAAGACCGAATTCAAAGTAAACTAATCTCTATAAATAAATTCTAGTCCAACGTCTTCATGTTTTTACTTGAGTCGTCCGATTTACAGTTTTCCTGTTGAAGTACCACGATATAATCGCAGTTACAATAGTTTTAGAGGGTCAATAAATCTTCATTTGCATCGGTCAATCGTGTTCTTACTTATAGTCATGGTCATTGGAGTGATTCCCGATTTCAATCATTTAGCGGTAGGACAGTAGGGATACAACAATAAGGGTATAATAGTATTTGAAAATTCGTGCTTTATAACATTTTTCGACTATCTGTTTGTGACCGGATTTCTTGATAATATGTATCCAACGTACCATAGAATCCACTTAAGATTGCTGATTTATTAACAGATTAGTTCCGAAACATAATATTTCAAAATCAGATTACTGAATTTGTCTGAGAATACAATCGTATCGAGAGTAACAACACAAGTAATTAAAACTAAAAAAAAACATAGAATCTCGTGTATGAGGGTGGGGTATCCGGATTTTCAACTGGCTGGGCTAGGCAGATAGCAGGACTGATAAGTACTCAAGACTGCTCATATGGCTTTTGTGTATCATTGCTCTGATCGATAATTCACTCCTCTGTGATTGGCAGTCTTATAACGTTACATATTAAACAGGTCACGCACGCACTCACACCCAATATAACAAGGCCAGAATTGATCAATAGTTCCTATATAAAGAGGCTCGTGAAAACAAATCAATATCATGTAGATTTTATGGATTTACATATCTACAATATTCCGAAAGAAGTTAAAAATTCAAAGGAATTGAGTTTGTGCTTAAAGTAAAAATTCAGATACTGCCATTGACCTATTCCAATAACATTAAAGTCTTATTGAACATTGAAATATGATGCAAAAAAACTTTAAATCAGAATTTTTAAAAACAAATTACGCTTACAGAACTAGTGTAAATGGTCGGTTCGGTTCTAACTGAAATTGTCGATAATAAAAAAAGAAAAAGCACACACAAATGAAGTAATTTTATAAATTATTACTATTATTATTCAACTATTGGTTTATTAGACGAAATTGAATTTATGTAATATAATTTATTCAGAGAACAAGATTATTTTGTGCATCGAGTTACACATATTAACAAAATAGTTCAATGCAAAATTATGCGTCGGTAAATGATGTTTATCTAGTGGAAGTAAGATAATGTTTGGCCACTGAGCATGAACAGACAGTCAGCTTACTAACTATTTAATTAATAATTTCCTTTCTAATATGGACACACTGAGTGTAGACTGCTTGTAATAGTTTTGAATAAGGTATTGTCTAGTTCATACTCTGATTCTCTACTTTGATCGTAAATCATGTATCTAGTATAACGTGATTCAATCTGTGTATATCCTATCGGTCAAGTATCTAGCTTAGTGGTATTATAAATCTCGGTCACTAATCGTATTACCGTATAATATTAGGAAATCATGGCAAGATGGGAAATATTTTCATTCAAGATTTTCTAATGACAATAGTGAGCGTCAATATAGTTTAAACAGTTTGGTGGTTGTGATAACTAAATAACTTAACATTTTAAACAATCGATACTTATCATCAGTATGGGGTTGTAGAGATTGTTAAATTTCATTAAAATCACAGACCGATCTCGGTTAGACGACTATTTAAAACCTGGAAACAGCGGACGGCTGTTTTGTTCTAGTATGAAACTGATTGCTCAGAAGTGAACAACCACAACAGTGCTCCGGAAGTTAAACTTTTGAGCACGAAACCGAAAGCTCTGAGTTCGATTACTAGTTGCAAGGTTATGGATGCGCATTGAAGTGAATTTTCATACTAGAATGAGAAAAACGTTTAGTGATTCCGGGTTTTAAATGATTTTCTGACTTTTATCAGTTCGTGATTTCAATGAAAATCAGTATTTAGTTCGAATCTCAGTATGAATGCATAAACAGTAGAATGCGGTATAGATTCGTGTACATCAGCTTCACACTATGCATTGAGTTCTATTGATACTACCCGGTTGACGAAACCGAATTGCATGGAGCGAAGTTAAAACCTTTAACTTGTTGACTAGAAATCGAATCCCTGAACCATGAAGCTTTATTCAACTAACGAGTCCCAAATAGGAAGAAACTTAGATAGAGAGTTTCATTACTAACTAACACTTTATAAATACTATTGTACTTAATCATTTAAACTGAAACAACATAGAGAATTCGGTAGTAAAACTAAATAATTGTAGATCCAATTATATTGTAGAGTGTGCTTAGATCAATGAATCAATGAAAAGCAGGTTAAATAAATTCGACGACAAAAAAAAACATTTAAAATTGGATACACAATAAAACCTACTAAGTATTTATGTACTTGAACATTCCAATTTCACTATATATTTCGATTTAGTCAAGTAATGTATGTAGTATGTTTTTATAAACATGATAACTATGGAATAATTTACGTAAAATTGTGTAATTCAAAGAATAAGTTGAATATCGAATTATATATGTATATACAGTAAACGAATGGACTTAGATATTGAATTCACTTAGTATTGTTTGTTTGAATCTTCCCATTGATGGTTAGAACTGTGACTGGTCAGCCTCTTATCTGCATATGTGCATACTGTGCATATTGCCTCGATATAGCCTTAATTAACAAGCATGGTAAGCAAAGATGGATAGTGTCTAGCAGTGGAATCCAGGACGTGCGTTTCGTCCTATTTGGGACTCCTCAGCTGGATGTACCTGCATCTCGGAGTTGATGTTCACTCTGGGACTCGAACGCAGTACCTTTCGCTTCAAACGCCATCGCGTTATCCACTCGGCCACTGAGTCCTGATAGCCACTTGCTTGCACAATGGGGTGAAATTTAAATTCACTTGGTATTGTTTGTTTGAATCTTCCCATTGATGACATTGTTATAAAATGATTATTTGATCCGTTATCTGAGCACTATGAAATTGCTTATTAACTATTTGACTGAATATCATGATGAAGATATGTGGAGATTGTAGTATTTTTACAATTGAATTCGCGAGACAATCTAAGTTAGACCATCATTGAAAACTTGAAAGCATTGGACGGCTATTTCATCGTAGCAGTGCGTCATCATGATTTGGTTTAAACATTTGTTCAGCTTTCGTCAGTAATTTTTGAGGTAACTTGAACTCTTTTATTGTGAGAAAAAAACAGTGAGTAATCTGACAGAAACAGTCATAATCAAAGGTTGTTAATCTTTTACTCCTAATCAGTAAGTCAGTCATACGCAAAGACAGAATCTGGTACATACGTTCATTGATTTAAATCTCAACAATATATCAGTAAACCAAGATGATATTATTAAGATGAATGTCAAGGTAATGGAAGTAGTACTGTTATCAGTAATAGGTAGAAAACGTTAGATATCAAAAGTATGATGAATGGATAGGAACAAAAAGGTGTAATATAAATTTGAAACTCAAGATTTCAGGGAAAACAGAGAGTAATTGCATATGGGCTATTGTAACCGATTTGGGAATATGTCACCTAATGTTTTTTCATTACATGTCACTTTAATTCTACCTGGAATTTAGATGCATTCAGAACATATTGAGCAGGGAATTGGAGGAGGAAATCAAGAGAATGAATAGTACTTGGAAACAACTGGAAAATAGAGCCCAGGACAGAGTTGGTTGAAGAATCCTAGTCAGAGGCCTATGCTCCTCTACAAGGAGCAACAGACGTAAGTATCCATGTTAAAAACGTTTTCAGAGAATGTAATATATTTCTCATTTTGGATATCAACTGAAACACACATCAAATCTTTGAATTCAAATCCTATACTCTTTGAACATTCCTTTTACTCAATAGAGAACGAAGATGTGATTCAGATGTTAAGGAACAAATTAAAAAAAACAAGAGCAGTATTGCTACATTTTAAAAATGTCTGAAAATCAAAATTACTGCCATCCAACACCAAATTCGAAATGTTCGATACCAACGTTAAAACAGTCCGATTGTACGTAGCTGAAACTTGGAGAACTACCGCAAACATCATCATCGAAAATTGCAGGTATTTATAAACAGCTGTCATCGAAGATACTCTAGATCCATCGGCCGGATATCACCAGCAACAACCCACTATGACAGAAAACGAGGCAGTTTCAAGTTGGGCAATAAATTGGGGGAAAAATCCTGGAAGTGGATAGGATTTAACTTTACTAGAATCATTAGACTGAATAACAAAACAAGTCTCAACTTGGAAATCTTTAAGGCAGAAGGAAGGAAAGCAGATCAAAGAACACATGGCGCGTAGAATCGCATATAGGCATCAAGACTATGAACATCACTTGATAAAAAGTGAAAAGGGGAGCTCTCAAAAAAGTTGGTTTGAAATCCTTCGTTGGTGGCCTATGTCCAATGACGGGTAATGACAAGCTTAAGTCAAGTTTTACTCGATTAGTCTTTTTACAGTATTGTTTATATGTTTTATTAATTCCCCTAATAATTTCCGTTGTTGTTATTAAGCGAGAAAAACAATATGTTGCTTTTTAATTTAAAAGAATCAAGCAGAAAGTTCATTCGCACAGTTAAAAGAAGAAAAAAACATACGTCTAAAGCACGATTGAAAGCTTTTACCGCTGTTTCATAACTTCTACGAAGTAAGTAAGCTTCACCGAGAATTTCCCAATATAATCTAAAAAAGAAAGTTCGTATAGATATACATTTAACTGTGTTTAGCAACAGAGGATGATGGATGTTTATCCTCTACTCTTATTGGGTCCTTCGACTGTATTTGTTTTTGCAACCATTTTGGTACATGTTCATCCACCCTAATTTTCAGATCACGATTGCTCCTCCCTATGTGTGTGTGGCCACACACACATTTAAATTGGTAAACGCAGTGGGATGTGATACAATCGTTTTCATGTCGTCTAGGTTTTGAATGAAGCATGGACCTCGTTCTTTCTTTGATTATGACCTTTGCTTCACAATATGTTTTGTTGATGACTGATTTAAGCCTTTGTTTCAGTAAAAGGCTATTTGAATCACCTCTAAATGATAAGGTGATGTAAACAGGCTTTTTCTCTACCAAGGCTACAGCAGGTCTCGCTGTGCCCATAACTTTCCATCTACTGATAAATTTAGGTGGATAACCATTCCCGATTAATGTCATGGTTAACAACTTAACATCATCATCAATAGCATCGTTTGTGCAAATACGACGAAGCCTGTTAAAAAGGCACTTTACCAAACCACGTTTGTATTGCACAGGGCAATAACTATAGTAACTAAGATATTGACCCGTCCACGTTGGTTTTCGAAAAATGGATCGTTTTATTGAGCCATCTTCTCGTCTGCTTAGAAGTACATCTAGGAAGGGGAGTTGGTCGTTCTTCTCCTCTTCGCATGAAAGATTGATATGGTTTTGGATAGTGTTAAATTTGTTCAATAGGCAGTTTATGTCTTCCATTCTTTCGCCTTATTACCCGTCTAGTTGACCTTTTATTTTTACATATAAATGTTCTTAACAAGTATATGTGTGATCAGATTGTTCGAAATGTATTGCGCTAATATATCACATAGTTCTGATAATCTTCGTCTTCTTATTACATTATCGAAATTTATCAAAGGGACTAATTGCTTTAAAATTTTATTAGTTGAATTCATGAATCGATCTAACCTAGACCACTATTCAAAACTTGAAAGTACTGAACGGCCGTTTCGTCCTAGTATGGGACTTCTCAGTAGTGTGAATACACGACCCCACATGCAGGACTCGAACAGAATTTACCAAATTGAAATACTAACTTTGACAACAGTTAACATACAATAATAAGACAATTACTATGAACTGGTGGTAGAACCAACACGATTTCCAGTCACATTAGAACCATAAAATATTCTTAATTAATAAACAAATATTAATATAAGTGACTGAAGCTAAAGCGCTCTGAAAGAACAAAAGATTTTGCGTTCGATCTTCGGTGGGATAATTGATGTGTACTACTGAAAAGTTCCAATACTAGGACAATATAGTTATCCACTGATTCCAGGTTTTTAATGGCTGGTTAACTAACGTCAGTCCGTGATGTAAACTATAAACTCTTGCTGGAAAGTTGAAAGAGTACTTTGATAGAATATTTTTCCCGAAAAATCCCAAACCAAGACATTATATCTGTCTCTACATGGTACAAACACATATACACATGAATATCAAGTTCCAATCGACTTAAAAACTGAAAAATAATAGACTTAAAGGTTGTTATTAGGTCTAGCAATTTGACTTATATTTGATCTACTATTTTCCTTGACTAATAAAGCCCCCAAATGCCCTGGTACGGCCGAGAGTGGGGAGAGTCCGCTCACCCTCTCCAAATACTCGCACATGGTCACGCGTATAAAGCCTCTGCCAGAAAAGTCCTACTCACTGCCTTCTCGTGGCATTACTGTTGTTTACGAAATTGACAGGACGAAAAGCGAATGTCCGGCGCTTTAACAGAGTTGGTGGACACAGAGAGTGCATCTAGGGGAGTTGGAAAACCCTGATTCCAAACCAGTGGTGCACATGGGCTGGCTCCAGTATCCTGAAGGAACAAATGGTGTATGAATCAACCGTTGATCACCGGCTACTATGGGAATGCATCTCCTCACGATGCTCCACTGCCTTATGGATCAGACATTTAGAACGAAGGCTCCGTGTGTGGGCCCCCCGAGAACACCACCTGCTTCAGTTTGGGCATCTGGGCAGTATCACAGCCCTCACACAAATCGAATTAGATTTGTGCAGCGCATATGTATCTGGTGCTTCCTTGTACCAATATTTATGTTTAAATAAATAATAAATAAATTTATAGATATCAGTAAGTTGAATGTATATATGGAGTTTATTATTATTATTACCACTATTATTATTAATATTTTAACAAAATATATACAATACTTACGCGTCATTTTTAGCTAAAACAACACGTTGTAATGCTGGCAAACAGTCATTTATTCGACCCAGACGTAAATTAATTAAGCCATAATTAAGCCACATATCTTTTGTGAAATCACTAAACAAGTGAAACAATAACAATAACAGATGATATATAAAATGGAATACAGGACGTACATCTCATCCTATTTGACACTTGTCAGCTGGATTCAATTTTAACGACGGAATAATTTGAACCATCCGAAAAACATTAAATTCACAAATGATACACTAAGAAATAGAATTCTTACGAAAGTGATGCCAAGCGCATAAGGCAAGTCCATACAAAATGTAACAATAACACAGGCTTATATTGGATAAAGAAATATTACCCATCTCAAAATTCGTCAATTAGTCAATAATAATCAATGCATAGCCTGGGCACAAATGTGCGATAAGTCTAAGTTGTTATACCAGAACATTAACACAAGGAGATGAAATCAACAGAATAAATGCCAAAGGAATCAAAATAATATAGTACTAATGTGAATGCGAAAGACTGAATATCGAGAATATGGTTTTAAAGAAGATATGTATGAAAGAACACTGGGACTGAAGATTGGTGAAATAAAGGGTATGTATGTACCTGGGCCGCTATGACTGATTTTGACCCAAGTCACGTACCGCTTTCAACCATTCAGATTGCAGTTGTCACTCAAACCCCAACCAGATAGTCGGTTCAGACCGACAGCCTATAACTTCTTGGATTAATTCTATGTCATGTTTTAACCGCCCTCAGCTTTCTTTCAACCTATATTTCTTCGGTATCTTCTATGCCTAACTTCAACAAAGCTAAATCCATCGGTTTACCATTTGAAAATAATACTTCTAAGAAATCTATGATCAAAAGCCTTCAGTGTACGGATAATTTGATATCCGTTTATGTTGCGTTTAAACATATTAAGAGTGAGATAAACAGTACAGCTAGCGATGAATGACGGTCAAGTTACATTGTGAACTAAATAAAATTCGATGATTGGAAATTTACAAAGTAATTTAGAACGTATGATGCTTCCCAAGAAACATGAAATTCTTGTATTTGAAAACTAGTGTGATCATGAGTGAGCTCTGTACTATAAATTAGAACCAAGATTATATTTGATTCAAATCGACTTCAGATTGTTTTTCTCCAATACATGAAAACTAGAAAACAACTACTTCTTTCTGATTCAATGAAAATTCCTTTAATTCACAAAGTAGCTTTATCATGAAATTTCTTTCTCAAGTATACATATACTACTAACAAAGTGATTGAAACTCAACACTTTTATTGTTATAAACATTAAAAATATTGAAAGACACTACCACTACTGTAGTGAACGAAGGATTGGAGGAGATACTCAATTTATTGTTTAATGCAAAATCACATAGTGGTTTATTGAAATGTCAAATTCATACATTAAGTACATCATTTGCACATCGTCTTGGAATTGTTTCTTAAAAACTTTATTGTTCCTTCATTCTTGTTATCTTGATTGTTTTCTGTTATGTCTAGTCGTCGCTCATTGTTATGTCGGAATCGCTTATCACTTATACTTATAAAACGAAGAAGCACTGAATTCACAAGACGTAAAATAAGAACACAAAGACTGGTACAAGTGAAAGTTTATTAACCACAAAACACGATGACGACCCTAGGCGAAAATACAATCACTTATTGAATAGAGAATCCACTAGAACTGACTAGATGGTGAGGATCAACGACACTTGATTTGAGGTCATCAGGGTTTGATTCCTCTGAAACATTATCCTCATAATTATTGAGAACCTCATTAGTAGATGATGGATCACTAGGAAAACCAATATCTATCGAAATTGCATTAGATTTTTGATCATTATTTGGTTCATCCGACATATTTCCCTCATTTTTGTAAGGAATTCCATCAAAAACGTGTGAGTCATTAGGATAACTCATATCTGGTAAACCGACTCGAGAATCACGGTAGGTAGATTCATCTGAAACTTTTGTCGCAGAATGATGAGTTCGATTTGGTGCAACTGTGTTCATTATGTTGCTTGATTTATTTTTTGTTTCTTCATGCACAGGTGCTGCAATAATTTGATGGCAATTATTAAGACACTCTTTCTGTGAGCTGGGCAAGTTACTGTTTGTACATTGTTTCGGGGATAATGGGATTCGAACCCTCTACATGGCATGCTTTTAAAATGGACGTTACTGGACCACTGGGTGGATCATGTGTGACTGCTATTGTTTCGTTTAAATTACAGATTTTCAGAAATTCATGGAGGCCTTCACTGACACTTTCATTCATTCTGCAATCATTTCCCAGCTATGCACGCAATTTAGAAATTAATTCATTAACTTCCGTCACATATCCAAAGCATGGATGATTTAGCAGCCATGTGCGTAAATTGTCCATAAATTCCAAATGATTTTTTTAAAAATCCTGCTGTTGCCGCTGAAACAGCAACTGCGATCGATCAGAAAGGAGAGCCATCTTCTGTTCATGTATGAATCAGCACGGCAATATAAAATACTGTATGACTAATTAACAACCAATGTCATTCAATGACATCGACGAAAAATCTGTACGCTGATTGTTCGAAATAATGACGCTGCTTTTTGTCTAATTACCAGTTGATCTTGATTCCTTTTTTTCAACCCGTCGCCATTTGTCATAACTGGTGGTTGACTGTTATAACTGCGTCACCAATTGGCGTCATATCAGCTTTCTTCTCTTCATCTCAGTCTTCTCAATCTTCTGCTCGCAGACATTTCACTCCCGACTGGTGCTACATACTACTTATAACTGTCAAAATAAGTAGCACACAACACACTACTAATGATAATAATACTACTATGAAGTGTTTACATCAATAATATCAACGAGTAACTAAAGCAACAATAAAAATTTGGACTGCATCATTCAGTTACAATAATTTTTACTTACTTATGATCAACAGATGAATACACATCTAAAGCGTTTTCCTATATGAACAGAGGAAAATTGAAAAGAACTCGTTGACGATAATACGAAGAAAAAAACGAGCACAACCATTTTCATCAAAAAGAAAAATCAAGAAATCAGAATAAGTAAATGTATTTACATATTATTAAAATAGAAATAGTAGCATATGGATGAGTTTAAAATATCTACGACAAGTTCCAAATAGTTTCTAGCCAGTGATTAAGAGAGCAGGTATTATAGATTGATAGTTTATGAAAAAGAAAACAGTGTAAACAGATATTACATAATCATGGTTAGGAACTAGGAATAGGGTTGATTTGTCTGTTATATACAATTTTAAGAGGTAGAATCAGGCATTTGATACATTTAATACCATCATTTTTACTCTATGGTGGCAAAAACTTTTCGCTTTTAGACCGTTTTAAATGTTTTACGTAATATTTGAAAGTATTTTTCCTGACAGACACTCCCAAAGAACCTATCGATCTACAGAGTCAAATGCTGCTTTTACGTCAAGAAAAACTATCATTGTCGGATGCCGACGACATAGTTCCGCTTGGTGAAGACGAGGACAAAATGCAGAGTCTTTTGGTAGCACTGAGCAACAATGCAAGGAGGTTTGGGATGCGTTTCTCCCCATCTAAATGTAAATTGTTGCTTCAGGACTGGCCTGCGTCAACACCTGAACTAAATTTAGGGAGTGAAGTAGTCGAACGCGTCGACAACTACACTTATCTTAGAAGTCTGATAAGCCCAAATGGGTTGGTGTCTAACGAAATCTCAGCGCAGATTCAAAAAGCTCGTTTGATTTTTGCCAACTTACGTCACCTATGGCGAAGACGATATATCCGTCTATCAATTAAAGGACGAGTACACTGCGCAGCAGTTCGCTCTGTTCTACTTTACGGCTGTGAAACGTGGCCATTAAGAGTAGAAGATACTCGGAACCACTTCTATGGATTCGGTGTTTATCTTGTTGTGCTAATGAGGTGTGGAAACTTGGACCGATGCATATATGTACCTGGTCCTACATGTTCCCCCAAATGCCCTGGTACGGCCGAGAGTCGGGAGAGTCCACTCTCCCTCTCCAAATGCTCTCATATGGCCAGCGAATATATAGCCTCTGCCACAAAAGTCCTACACACCGCCTTCTCGTAGCATTACTGTTGTTTACGAAATTGAGAGGACAAAAAGCGAATGTACGGCGCTTTAACAGGGTTGATGGACACAGAGAGTGCATCTAGGGGAGTTGGAAAACCCTGATTCCAAACCAGTGGTGCACATGGGCTGGCTCTAGTATCCTGAGGGAACAAATGGTGTATGAATCAACCGTTGATCACCGGCTACTATGGGAATGCATCTCCTCACGATGCTCCACCGCCCTGTGGATCAGACATTTAGGTCAAAGGCTCTGAGTGTGGCCCCTTAAGCAAACTACCTGCTTCAGTTTGAGCATCTGGGCAGTATCACAGCCCTCAAATAAATCGAATGAGATTTATGCAGCGCATATGTATCTGGTGCTTCCTTGTACCAATATTTATGTGTTTAAATAAATAAATAAAATAAATCCTACATTGTAGCTGACTGACTGACTTAATTTTTCTTATCATCATATATTATATCTGAATTTCGCACAAAAATCCAAAAGTCACTTTTTTATTCTGATTAACTCGTCCCTTTAGTATAGTTTCACCGTGAATTTCGGGTGTGAAGTTGAAAACAGAACACAAATTGATTATAAGCTATTGCGCTCGTTATTAAAGATATGAGGGATTTATGGAGCTTGTTGAGTTTCATAGTTTAACATCATAAATTGATCTTAATTAGTTGCCCATTTGAAAAGTTGGAAGCACTGGAAAGCTGTGTTTAGTACTAATAAGTGACTATTTGTTAGTGTGTATTCATGATTACACAGGGTTTCCAGCCCCGATGATTCAATTGTAATCGAAAACTGTGAGGGTTAATTGTTTTGTCTTTCACCGATTCTATACGGAAATGAATTGTGATTGCATTCAATGGAAGCAACAACTTTGAAGGTGATTTTAAAGACGGAGATGGATGGTGACGAGCAGTGGAATCCAAGACGCATGTTTCACCCTTGCTGGGACTCATCAGCTTGGTATACCTCCATCTAATTTACCAAGACACTAAAGGCCTAAACTATAACGATAGTCACCTCCCACACATCCATTTGCCCCCCCCCCGTTAATACGATGCACGAAAGGAAGTACAGAGTGACATCAAACTATATGACATCATCTCCTATTACCAAAACGTTCAGAACGCAGTTAGACCACTTTATAAGCGTACCCCTTTTTTAATATACTACTTATCAAAGACAACTTTATGCCTAGACGATCGACGACTATAGCAGTGCCTACTCTAACAACAACGCTATATTTTAAAATGATCACTACTGGGCGTTTATTTTATATGTGTTCTAATACCACACATCATTAGAAACCTGATCAAAAACCGTTATTTAAAATAATTTATGAAAGCAGAGAGTATGCTTAAGTAGCTAATTCTTTTATCATATGCGTCTTCGTAGCAATACTTACACTCGCTGAAACCATCAAGAAAGCAATGCAGTGATTAGGGCATAGGGTACTCAGTACATGTATACTGAAAGCAATAACATTCCATAAAGAAATGACGTTAATTATGCGACTTACCCATTGTTCTTGCTTACACAATGCCACTGAATAATAATACGCGCAAACTGGCGAACCAGGCATCAAACGATAGGCTTCAGCATAGGATGTCAGTGCCTCTCTGAGTAAACGGAATGAAGACAAACGAAGAAAGAGAAACGGAATACAAATATGGGGAAGAAGTGGTATCGTTGGGACCTTTATCAAGAGCTTAAGTAATTCATGCAATAATTATCAAGGAATAAGTCTGCTATCAACCGCTTTCAAACTGTTAGTTTGGATCATATTCTGAAGATTGCATAAAAACCATGTAGGAATAACTCGCAAAGAACGCAATGATTCTTGTTAAGGTTCTAAACCACATTTATCACACCCTCACACCACCAAATCTTGTACTACGCCACAGTTGTTCCAGGTCACGAATCATAGTGCTTCTTGATATTAGAGACGTGTCTCCGACTCAGTGAAGAGGATTGTACAATGAGAATGTCTTTTCAAAAAGCGTGCGCACGTGAAGCTTATTATTATCTTGAAGGCTCTGTACAAAAGCACCTCTAGGAGAGTGAGGGGACACAACTACATCTCTCAGTTGTCCCATTCAAGAAGTCAGGTTGTCCGACCTCACCATTCTTCTTCAACTTTACCAACGACAGTATTTTGGAAACAGCTCTGAAGAAAGTACACAGTAGTGATGTGGATATGTTGTCTAAAGAAAAACTTTTTGATATTGAGTATGGAGGTGTCTTAATGTGCAAAGAATAAACAGGCTATTCAAGTTACGTTTAAACAGTTGAGAATTAGTGCTCAAGGGTACAGCATGAACCCTGCACCTTTGAAATTTATAGTTGCCTAGAAAAGATTACTCTGTATGTTAGTAATCCCGAAGTGAGTTCATATGTAGAGATAGTGATTAAATTGGGGTTACCACATAGAAAAACTGGCTTCAATGGCTTGAATATATTTTACAGATATCATCCCAGTGATGCCCATTCCCAGAAATGTCTTATTGACAATAGACCTCGGTATGGCTCTGGCACTTTTAGTCTTATGAATTCTCAACCGATCATTCCTCGTACATTAAAACCCCAGACAAGAATAATTCTATCAAATAAGTATTAATGATATCATTACGATACGCTAACTAGACTATTGAACAAAATGTTGTGTTTTCAGTTATGAAAAGTATCTGTTAAAGGCAAGTAATACTTTGATTATTGGTTAATTTTAACACATAACTGATGTGCCATTAAGATATTCCAAGGATAATCCAGAGATTAAATATAAAAGATTACGTAAGAGCGGTGAATAAATACATGAAATTATTGTAACCGATTAATTAGAATGCAAATGATTCCCAACTACCTCAATCAGCTGACTAGTTGGAAAAGACGAGATCAAGTAAAAGAATTCTCTGATATCCAACACCCACCACTACCTCTTCCTTTTCCCCTAACCGTTAACAAATAACAATGTGATCCAAATTTTCTTAAAAAAGAAAATAGCAAAAATCACTGACATACTTTGTATACAGACAAAAAACTTACTTAAAACTCTCCATTTCACGGTGTATATGCCCTAGTTGTAAATAGTTCGCATAATAACACTTATCAAATTGAACACCAAGAGAAAATGCATTCAACTGTCGATCACAGCCCATAGTTTCAGGATAATTTGTAAAGGATTGTGTAAACATTTTCATTATATATCCAATTAAATACTGATAACGAGTTGAATGAATAGTGAGATTATTTGTTTTAAGTAAATCCAAAAATTCATTCACAATAGGCTGTGGTATTGTTGCTAAGAAGAAAATATGTTGGAAAATTTTTTTTTTATTTTTTAAGAAAAAAAACACCACAAGTTATGGTAAGCAAAGATGAATAGTGGCTAGGAGTGGAATCCAGTTTGACGTGCGTTTCGTCTTATTTGGGACTCGTCAGTTGGATGTACCTGCATCTCAGGGTTGATGTTCACTCTGAGACTCGAACCCAGTACCTTTCGCTTCAAACGCCATCGCGTTATCCACTCGGCCACTGAGTCCTGATAGCCACTTGCTTGTGCAATGGGTCCTAACACATCAATGGGAAGATTCAAACAAACAATACTAAGTGAATCAAAAGTTATGTTTGGACCGTACAGTGATAATAAATAATCATCATTTATAACAAAATCAATTAGTTATAAGCAAAATATTACATTCTATATTATCAAATCCAAATGAAATTATCAAGACTAAGCATATTCTTAATGTATTCTATTCTCTACAGGTTCATATTAACCAATTATTAGCTGAGTAAGGTTATATTTTTATTACAATATAGAATTCTCAGCACAAACTATTTCAACAAGTTCCCTTTCCTTAATTCTTCATCTATCCTGACAATAAATATTGAGTGATCACCAGTTAGATGTTAGCATTTGAGGTATCGACATCTGAACAATGATCATTCTTTTTAAAGTATATGTGTTTCCTCTGTGGATTGTCTTGATATTGGCCATTTAGTCATGTATTTTTTAATAAAGTTGAATAGTGTTTAACAGTGAAATACAGGATAAGCGCTTTAACCTATATTGAGGCAATCCGTATAGATTGCATGTATTACAAACAAAGCTGATCATTTGTAATCGTTAACATTAGTGATGGAAATACATAAAATCTCACAAATAAAATTTATGGTCGTTGTACATGATAGTGACTATTTGAACTCAGTATCTCAGTGGATAACGAGTTGAGTGTACGAAATGAAAGGTACTAGCTTCGAGTCTCAGGGTGAACATCAACAAAAGGATGTATAGATACATAACACTGGCCAGTCGCAAGTGGGGCGAAACACCTATTCTAGATTCCACTGTTAGCCACTGTCCAACTTTATTAAGAATATACTTACTAAGAAAGAAAATTAAAAAGAAGAGTTTACGACAGAAATGCGTTGTGTTAACTAACAAATTAAATGATGTGCATCTTCAAAATAACGTCAATAATTCATCAATTTGCTTCGATCCCTGGTTATTGCAAAAGAGTTATTCCGTACAAATCAAAGATTGATTTAAGCAACACAGGTGTATGATACATGCACAATGACCTCGGATTTGAAGCAAGCATTTAGTATACTGTTATAACGGGACGAATATTGAGAGAACTGGAATTTTCGGGACTACTTTTTCGATTGTTACTACCCATATTTACATTGCATAATTATTAAAATTGCCCCCATTTGCCTTGATAAGGTAAAGGGTTGGGAGAGGCAGCTCCCGCTCTCCAAGTGCTTTCACATAGCCACGCGCATACATATACATCAACGTGTTATATCCCCTGGTGAATTATGAATGGTAAGTCTGAGGTCTATTATCGACCAATGTATTATGTCTATTTCTTATTGTACAGTTGTTACGTAACTAAACTATTCATATTTGTATTTCTCTTATCATTAGCTTTATTTTCATCTTTGATTTATTATCATACGATTTTTGAGTTATACTCAGTTATTGATTACTTTGGTTTGTATAAAAACCCAGTATGTTTGTAAATAATGTTTCATACCACTGAGGCTTTTGTTTGTGTTTTGGTCTTAACTGGTTGGGCTAGGCAGAAAGCAGGGCCGATACGCAATCAAGACTGCTCGTACGATTTGAAGTATCATTTGCGTCCGATCAATAAAATCCACTACCTCCCTAAATTGCATGTTCTTATAAATTACGGGCCCATACGATATAAAAACTGACGACGGGGTAAAAAAATGGCTCTAACTTCCGATCAATTTCAGTTGCTAATCCAGCGACAAGAGCAGCGTTTTAAAAAGAGTCAATTGGAATTCATTGACAAGCTACATGCAAAGCTGCCGAATCACCCATGCTTTGGGGGTGCAACAGAAGCTGACGCATTAATTTCAAAATTGCGTACAGAGCTGGAAAACGATTACAGAACGAATGAATATGCCGGCGAAAGCCTCTATGAATCCGTGAAAAGCAGTAATTTAAGCGAAACAATAGCAGTCACATATGATCAGCCCAGTATTGTCTGTTTCAGAGGCATGCCCTATACGTGGCTCAAATCCTACTATCCCTGAAACAAAACGTGCGAACAATGAATCGTCCAGTTCACAGAAAGACAATATCTTATTAAGCGCCCATAAAATTGCTGCAGTACCCACCCACGAAGAAACGGGGAACAAACCAAACAGTATAGTGAATACAGTGGCGCCAAATCGAACCAGTCACGATGCAAAAAAATTTTCTAAGGAATCTAATGATCAAGATTATCTAATTGTTCTGCCAGATCACGATTATTTTGCTGATTCATATGTTCCAGTTCAAAACTCTTATAAAAATGGGAGAAAAATATCGGATGCATTAAATGATAATCAAGAATCCAATACAACTTTCATAGATACTTTTATCCTAATGATTCATTATCTACTAATGAGGTTCCGAGTAAATTCAAGGAAACTGCTTCAGAAGAATCAAACGCTGGTGACCTCAAATCAATTGTCGTCGATCCTCATGATCTAGTCAGTTCTAATGGATTCCCATTTAAATGTAACAAACATATCGCATTAATAGTAACTTCGGTATATGAGGATCCCACACTCCTTCGTGGGGGAGGAGGAATTCCAGGAATTTAAAATCCGGATATCAACTCCGGATTTCTCAAAAAGGGGAGGTGTTATATCCCCTGGTGAATTATGAATGGTAAATCTGAGGTCTATTATCGACCAATGTATTATGCCTATTTCTTATTGTACAGTTGTTACGTAACTAAACTATTCATATTTGTATTTCTCTTATCATTAGCTTTATTTTCATCTTTGATTTATTATCATACGATTTTTGAGTTATACTCAGTTATTGATTACTTTGGTTTGTATAAAAACCCAGTATGTTTGTAAATAATGATTCATACCACTGAGGCTGTTATTTGTGTTTTGGACTTAACTGGTTGCGCTAGGCAGAAAGCAGAGCCGATACGCAATCAAGACTGCTCGTACGATTTGAAGTATCATTTGCGTCCGATCAATAAATTCACTCCTCTCTAAATTGGCGTTCATATATATTGCGAGCCCATGCGTTATAACACAACGGAAGTCCTACTAAATGCGTTCTCGCGGTTGCAGGTGTTCTTTACGAAATTCAGAAGACAAAAAGGGGATTTCCAGCACTTTAAACGGGTTAGTAGATATACGAAATTCATTTAAAGGAGTGGGAAAACCCTCATTCCAAACCAATCGTGAACACGGGCTCCAGGATCCTGAGGGAACAAATGGCGTATCACCCTATTGTTGGTCACCGGCTACCATGGGACTGACGTTGCTCTACTGACTTGTTAACTAGATCTCTGAGTCAAAGGATCGCGGAGTGGCCCCCTAAGAAAACCACCTGCTTCGGTTTGGGCACCCGGGCAGTATTCCAGACCTCACACAAATCGAATGACGAAATGTGGCGCACATATACTCGGTGCCTCCTTGTACCAATGTTTATGTGTTTAAATAGATAGATGTATAATTATTGAATAACTGTACTGTTTAATTTCTATATTTCCCTTATAGTAAGCTTTCAGTGTACCTATTCACTATTGGTATGCATTTTACTATTCCTTAACTATTGCTAATTTGTAATTTACTGTCGTTTCGCTTTCTACTAATTATGGTATGGTTGTGTGTTGAAGTATGACTTCCCATTTGGTGTGTTGTGTGGTCAGGCATTTCAAGTATATTATAGCATGCGTTTTGAGTAGCAATTGAATTGAGCACAATGGAGAACCGATTCACATTTTAGCTGTCTTCTGATTGAATAATGAGTTAGGAAGAGCTCGAGGACCAATAAATGTTAACCACTTGATTGTAATCCATTAATCAACATGTCGATTGGTAAATGGAAAGTTTGCGGTCCTATAGGTGATATGAGTGAACTAATAGATAATCGAACTAGAGAAAGAGAGACATCATACAAAGGCTTTGTTGTCACTACGGCTCGATCATACTGGACAAAATCCAACCCAAGAAAGCGGCATGTTATCGCTTTTTTCGAAACAACGCACAATAAAACAGTCACAGCCCAATAAAAAAATAGCATCTTTAAGCGTGGTAAAAATGAAGGATAGCAACCCATATGAGGTTTTCCCGTGGAAATATAAGGATTCGTATTTACAAAATATTCAGTAACTAGGCAATTTCCAGAGGATTTAACACCCTCAACAGTAAGACACTGTTAAGAAAACTCTGTCGGTAGATATTAACAAAGATAGAATCACCTAATAACTAATTAATTATGAGAATACGTAATGAGGGAATTATTAAAGTTATTATTATTTATACTCAAAATAATATATAACTAGGAGGCATCACCTATCATTCATAATTACAAAAGCATAACAATAGTCGCAAAATTAAAAATCCATTTAAATTAACTCATTCACCAGGTACATGGATATGAGTTACACTGTAAGTGTGGGAACTAACGGTACCAGACGGTAGACCAAATAGAAGTACGTGGAGCAGGGTTCGAACCTGTAACTTAGTGGCTGAAAGTCAAATACCCTAATCACTTAAGTCGCCGCTGCATATAAAGTTATAAAGTAATTGGGGATAGTTATTCACTTCAACAGGATATTTAAAGAGATTATTTAATGATCGAATTACGAACAAAAACAGATGCCTAAAACACCATGTCGACACTTATACAAAAAAAACCACGTATTTTCCTCTCTAGTTCTTTAGAACTATCTAATGTGTACATCGTTATTAACTTACTATCTGAATTGTTCATCAACTTGGTAGAAATAAACTTAGATACTTTCAACCATATCAAACATATTCGAAAACGTGGAGATAAACCAATACTGTTTGGAATTGTCTTATTCATTTGACAACCATGATGTATTTTCCACTTTTCAAGAATACTAAATGCCGCTTCTAAATTGTTAACGATAAGGGAGTATTCCAAATACAAAGTTTGATAAACATCTATCCAAGTAGATGGGATCTAAAAAGAAAGGGATATTTTTTTTAAAAGAAATTCAAAAAGAGAAAATAAGAACATCTAGAGAGTATAAATACGTTTAGCAAATATGAATGTAAATTCGTCAATATTTATTATTATTAGCTTTATTCAATATTATATTTTTGATACAATATAGAATTCTCAGCACAAAGTACTTCAACAAGTTTCCGCTTCTTACTTCTTCGTCCTTCCTGACAATAAATATTGAGTGATCGCCAGTTAGAAGTTAGCAGCCCAGTCAATTGACATCTGGATAATGTACATTCTCGTTGCATATTGCCAGCAACCACGATATCTCTGATTAGGCCTTCTGTAGCCTTTACAGCGAAAGGTCTTACACTTTTCAGAAACGCACCTGAATAAGTTGTGCGATTAATAGGCATAATGATGTATTAAAACAAACGATATTAGATAACTTGTTGAAATATCTAGATGACAGGAACAGGTAGCCCAGATGTTTAAACAATCCGCTATTAAAATAATTGTTTGATAGGAATTAAGTGTCAGATGTATAAACTATATTGTATGTAAAAATTATGTATGAAATAATCTCAACGATTGACACTTAAATAATTTCAACATTTTGTCCAGCAACTTTGCTTCGACTTTTCTCCCTCTCTCAAAATTATCTCTAATATACTTTGAATATTGTTTTCAGGAAAGGAAAAAAATGTTACGTTCATCTAAGAGCTGATTGAACGATACACATCATGGAAGCCAGTAATAACACAACAGGAATAAATTATCCACTCAACAGTTAGAGGTCGAAAATCAGGACTTTAGGCTATGTGATGAGTAATTTTAGTTATTTAATTTTTAATGCTTAAATCCATTTTTTAACACCTATTCGTCAGTACATAGAGTCTGAACAATAATGGATGGCGGCTAAGAGTGGAATCCAAAATGTAGGCCACTCCGTCCTATTTGGGACTTGTCAGCTGTATGTGCTTGAATCCCAGAGTCGATATTTACTGAGGCACCCAGTATCGTCCTCTTCAAATGAATAGCTATCTGGATGTGATGGCGCTTGAAGCCAACGATACTATGTTCGAGTCCCGAAGTGAACATGAACTCTGGGATGCAGGTACATCCAGCTGACGAGTCCGAAATACGATGAAACATGCAACCTGGATTCCACTGCAAGCCACTATCCATCTTTGCTTATTCATAGTTTTAGTTTTGGATTATTACTATATCTAGAGCTTTGATTCTTGCTATGTCGCGTACTACTAGACTACTTGAACGATCGAACCCGCAACGTCGCAAGAGAGAAGATAGAAGACTAGTAAGTAGGAATTTTATTCCCCAAAACAGTGTCAAAATATGGTGCAAAAATCTCATGTATTTATAGTTTTTTGGCTTAAAGTAAATCATCATTTCGGACAGCCAATAGGCACATAGAGGGGCTTTCTTATTCATCCAATAGGGAAGCTCGAAAATAGCCAAATGGCTTTTTTCCAAGAAATAAGGCATAAACCACTGATAGGCTTATATATATATATATATATATATATATATATATATATATGCATATTGCCAGCAACCACGATATCTCTGATTAGGCCTTCTGTAGCCTTTACAGCGAAAGGTCTTACACTTTTCAGAAATATATATATATATATATCATTGTTGAAAGCGTGAGTCAATTGAAGCTAGACCACCATGGAAAACCTGGAAACACTGGACGGCCGTTTCGTCCTATTATGGGACTCCTCAGCAGTGCGCATCCACGAACCTGCTCTCGCAAGCGGGATTCAAACCCAGCACCTACCAGTGTCGAGCCGAAGCCCTTAACCGATAGACCACTGACCTGGCATCCAACGGTGTTAATGTCTAACTTCAACTGATCCACGAAGTTGAGCAACCATTCACCAATTGTCTTCAGTGAGTTCCTATCTCACAACAGACGTGGTTTTGAACTCCACTGGTCACTGCTTCTCACTAGAGCTCCAAGATATACTTCTCGAAGTCACTAGTGAGCATATGATTATATTAATTATAGAAGGGGTTTTGTGGAGATTTAGATTCAACAATGATAAATACTAAATCTCAACAAAACCCCTTCTATAATTTATATATATATAGGAATGCGTCTAGTCAAGTAAACTTCTTTCCTCACTCTGTATTACAACAAAAGTATTATTAGCTTAACGATGACTACTACAGTTACAACTAGATCCTTCTTATTCATAACCAATATAGATGATAAGATAGAATAAACGACTTTCTGTCAAAATAATGGGTAGTAAGCGTTTGGTTAGTCTATTAGTTATCCTTAATCAAAGTACGAGGTGATACGAATTCGCATTAGTTTAATTCACTACGGAAGATTAATGTAACTCATATACCAAGTATAAACATATGTACTCAACTTGTGGTCGCACGGTTTATGAGTTAGTAATACTTCTTGGCTCTTCAAAAAAAAGCACATGAGGAGAGATTCGAACCTTTGACCTACAGGCCTGAAAGCATAGTGACTTAACAACATACACTTCTCCAAGGATATTTATGCATATAGACTATACAGAATGATAGTTTATCATTATAGCTGTTTCCCAGTAGAAAAAGACACCATTCAGACTTTTTAAAACCTGCGTAGTACAGCATCATTCTGTGGAGCAACCCCCTCCTTAGGGAACAAGAACTCTAGTTGACTGAAACCACCGAATATTAAATAGCTGCTTCACTTTAACATAAGACCCTTCAGAAGTGAACACTAATGAAACTACCAAGGATCAAATCCTATAACTTCACACCTCACGATGAGAGCATTATTCCTAGAATACTAAAAAAATTGAGTAGAAAAAAATGATACGTATATCGAATGGTCTCAAACCCCAGATTTTTTGTCGTTTCCTTCCATAAGTTAACAACAGAGAAGTAATATGTTCTAACGCCAACATAACTGGTTGAACAATAACAAAACCGATCATTAGCAGTTAGTTCAGAATCTTAGAATCAAGGTTTAAGGCTAGTGGGAATAAAACAACATTTAATGGAATGAGATTACTGTTTTGAGACTTGGTATCCAAAAATTGATACTGATACACAAACTTCCTATACCCGACCCCAATCTGCTACTCGAGTTAAAAGATATATATATCCATTAGGTAATTAAGCCTTTCAGTGATTCATATCTCATCCCCTGTAAAATAGAGCCATCCTTTAGCTAACAGAGTGAATTTGTCACTTGAAGATTTTTCGATTGACACAATGTATCAGTTACAATAATAACTTCAATACATGAGTTGGAAATCATTTTACATTTTACTGCAAACCTAAACTAAATATTATGGTCTTTAGAATGTAAAATACTATTAAATGAATTGAATTCATTGATAACTTCAAAGAATGGATCTCCAAATTAAACTTGATTTGTAATTAACTGTTTGCTTCATGTTAAATTTTATTTATTATTTTATTCAAAGACATAAATATTGGTACAACGAAGCACCAGATACATATGCGCTGCACAAATCTAATTCGATTTGTGTGAGGGCTGTGATACTGCCCAGATGCTCAAACTGAAGCAGGTGGTGTTCTCGGGGGGCCCACACACGGAGCCTTCGATCTAAATGTCTGATCCATAAGGCAGTGGAACATCGTGAGGAGATGCATTCCCATGGTAGCCGGTGATCAACGGTTGATTCATACACCATTTGTTCCTTCAGGATACTGGAGCCAGCCCATGTGCACCGTAGGTTTGTAATCAGGGTTTTCCAACTCACCTAGGTGGACTCTCTGTGTCCACCAACCCGGTTAAAGCTCGGGACATTCGCTTTTCGTCCTGTCAATTTCGTAAACAACAGTAATGCCACGAGAAGGCAGTGAGTAGGACTTTCCTGGCAGAGGCTATATACGCGTGACCGTGTGAAAGCATTTGAAGAGGGAGAGCGGACTCTCCCCACTCTTGGTCGTACCAGGGCATTTGGAGGCAACAATAACAAGATGAAAAAATGTTGCCTCTGTATCTATCATACTTACATCTTTTGTATTTACCAATTGACGAAGAATCGTTTCAACATTTCCATCAGTACTTTTCGTAGAAATTTCTGAATTACAAATATTCGCCATGTATAATATCCGTAACCAAGAATTAATTATTGTATATATATTATATTTTGTTGGTAAATCATTATCTTCCAGTCCGTTTAAATTGAAACGAAATGGTGTGCATAATGTGCGTTGAGAGAAATTCAGATTTGATGTATAACTGATAAATTTCGATATAGGTTCAGATAAACTTTTAGATTCTGAATAAAATTGTGTACAATTTCTATCAATAAAAGATATTACTGAAATATAAAGAAAAGTATAGATTACTTATATGACATAATAGGATGATTGGTGAAAAAGTATAACTTATTTTGAAGCTCTTGTTCGACCTATTAATTGTTGTCAGATTTTTTATTGTTCTAGATCCACCGTTCACTGGTTATTCACATATTATTGTGATCTTGTATCATTGATGTCTAAGTTATGTACATGTTATAGGTCATTGTGTTGTGTAATCGAATATTTTAGGTATATTACCGTACAAATTTTGAGTCATGATTGGATAGAATACACTAAAGGACTGACACGCTTTTTGTATCCGTCTTCTAATTACCCACTTGGTAAGAAGGACCACGAGGCGTTAAGGTCTTAGTCATTATCCACTGATCGTTATGTCAATCGGTACATAAATGGTCACCGGTCATACTGGCAATACAGGTGAATTAATCGATAATCGGATAATAGAAAGACAGACCACGCAACTGCTTTCTTGACATTACAAATCGAACACACAAGACCAAATAGAACTCAAGCAAGTAATCTGGGTTTTTTCTTCCGCACAACATATTTAGTAGATATGTTTAACCAATCTTGAATAATAATATCATTTTTGAGGCTTGGTTCAACACGATAAGCGATTATTTCGTCATAGCTATAACGAATGAGACAACGGTTCAAAATTGTAAATATTAATTCGAAAGATATACGTCTAAAAACATGATAAATATTGTAATTATATTTTGCTACGGAAACCAGTGGAATTCACGTACGCAGAAACTATGAACTGTTCATTACAGATTTCTGGAGAACGATGGTCATATTCCATACCAGATATATCAGTGTTTATAGCTGTTTAGGAGAGGGTAAAAGATGATTGTTTGATACATGTTATCATTACTATTCGTCAATAATCAAATAACCCGACTGTAGATATCTTCAGACCAGTATGAGTGTCTTGCCTTTTAATGTGAACTATGATTTGTGGTAGTTGCAGCTACACAAACTCCCATACTGGCAAGAACTGAAGTTGATTCCAATATAAGTTTGTGGCGTATAACAGTAAAGTGCCGAATAATAGGGAACATAAAATACGATACACATTTAGTGCAACACGATGGTTCCCATCTGGAAATAAACTATCTGTGGAGATTGTCTTCAATGAACAAATGTACGTGGGTTTCACAGTATTACAGATGAGAAAAACCAAATACCAAATGTTGGAGTTGGGGCAGTTTCTTTTTGTTAAACTTTGGGCCAGACAAACATGAAGTTAATTACTACTCAATTATTAATCAATTGTAAATATTTATCCTGAAGGAAGTCAGTTGCGATCTGAATGGCTCAGTGGTAACGTTTCAGACCGTAAAACTGAGTGATATGCGTTCAAATCATACAAATAGAATCAGTTCCTCCAACACTACAGGAACGCCTTAATAATGCGCATCAACCAACATAAAACTTACATCTAGAGTTTCACCCTATCAACTACCTTTAATCACGTGATGCCAAGTCATTTAGACTAGTGGTCACACAAATACTTAATCATTAGAGTTTAATTAGCATTATTAAAAGACTAGAACAATAAATTTCACTGAGCATATTAGTAGCAAATCATCGGTCATTATCTAGCCTTGGAAATAACAATAGTAGTTCATAAAATTTACCAGAAGTAAAAAACCATTAAAAAAAGTGTAATAATAATAAGAAGAATAACAATAAACTATTCCACTTACATGTATTAATGATTTCATTACAACTATTGAATTGATACAATTTAAACGCAGCCAATACATACAAAAGTCCGGCTGGATTTTCATTCAGTGAATTAAAAACAATAATAATAATAATAATAATAATAATAATAATAATAATAATAATAATAATGATAAAACTGTCGGACAGAAAACTTATTCAATACTACTTAGTTTTAAAAGATAAAAGGAAACAATTTTATATAATCACATTTGAACATAATTGATTAATTTTGAAAGATGAAGCTTATCACAACAATGTGATGTTCTTAATGGTTGAATAAGTGTACTGAAATAATCCACAAGAGCCAAAATAAAATAATTCAATATTGCCTCCAAATGCCCTGGTATGGCCGAGAGTGGGGACAGTCCTCTCTCCCACTCCAAATGCTCTCACATGGCCACGCGCATATAGCCTCTGACAAGGAAGTCCTACTCACTGCCTTCTCACAGTGGCGGGGGTGTTACTTACGAAATTGAGAGGACAAAAAGCGAATGTCCCGAGCTTTAACCGGGTTGGTGGACACAGAGAGTCCACCTAGGTGAGTTGGAAAACCCTGATTACAAACCTACGGTGCACATGGGCTGGCTCCAGTATCCTGAAGGAACGAATGGCGTATGAACCAAACGTTTTTCACCAGTTACCATAGGACTGCATCTCCTTACGATGTTCCACTGCCTTGTGGATCAAACTTTTAGGTCAAAGGCTCCACAAAAGGAAAAATAAAATAATTCAACATGAGTAGTAGATAAATATTCATTATTGAACAACATTATAGTTGAAACAGGATTATAAGATTGATCTTAATTAAGATTTTATAGTTTTGTACAAAAGTGATTCAAGGGTGTATAATACTACGGTTTATTGAAGCCTTGGACATAAGAAAATTCCAATTGTTTTACTGTTTATTTATTTACTTACTTGAACACATAAATATTGGTACAAAGGGGAACCAGATATATATGCGCCACACAAATCTCATTCGATTTGTGTGAGGGATATGGTACTGCCCGGGTGCCCAAACCGAAACAGGTGGTTTTGTTAGGGGGCTACACCCAGAGCCTTTGACTCAAAGGTCTGATCCACAAGGCAGTGGAACATCGTAAGGAGATGCAGTCCTACGGTAGCCGGTGACCAATGATTGATTCATACGCCATTTGTTCATTCAGGATACTGGGGCCAGCCCATGTGCACCACTAGTTTGGAATCAGGGTTTTCCGACTCTTCTAGGTGAACTTTCCGTGTCCACCAACCCGGTTAAAGCGCCGGATATTCGCTTTTTGTCCTCTCAATTTCGTAAACAACACCCCTGCCACGAGAAGGCGGTGAGTAAGACTTCCCTGTCAGAGGCTATAGACGCGTGACCATGTGAGAACATTTCGAGAGAGAGAGAGAGAGAGAGGACTCTCCCCACTCTCGGCCGTACCAGGGCAGACTATCAGTTTACTGACTACATAAAATGAACCAAAAAAAGTTCATTTGCTTAAGTATAATCTATTTACTAAGAAATCTGAAACTCATGACACAAGTTTGATATCAAGACAGATTAGATCACATCACAGTTAGATGTTGTAGGATATGAAAAGAAAACAGAGGTTCGATAGTACTTATTTTCCTTTGATTATTTTCTAAAATCAGTCAGTCTTAGTCAATTATAACTAACGTAAGACCTGACACAAAAATGTGTATCGGTTCAAGTTGCTACACTATATCAGCACAGTGAGATCAAATTACTAAGGTAAGTACCAAAGTAGTAGAAGTAGTAGTGAGACCATAATTTATGTACGACCTTTGAGCGATGCTAAAGTGACTTTGAGAAAATCCACCTAATTACTAGGGTCAAAAGAAGATTATAGATTATTGGGAGGAATTAGGATTGGCAGTTAGAAGTTAGGGTTAGGAATTAGAGTTAGGGTTTTCATCACAAACAGATCAACCCTAATGCCAAAATGCTGTTTAGCCAAATGGATGGATTAACTTCACTCCAAAATCCGAGACCTTCTAACCTTTATTTGATTGGTTCGTCCCTAAATTATAGTCTTGCCGAAGTAACAAAAGTAGTATCAGAGATACTAGGAAAAACTAGGTATACAGAGTATGATTTAAGAAGAATTAATTCGCGAAATAAAAGATATAAACTCAGGATCTAAGGGAAGACAAAGATTGGATGAATCTGTACCATTTCTAAAATGATATTACATACTGATGAGTTACAGGTTGATGTTTGAACGTTTAACTGTTTGAAGCATTCAATTCAACAAGAATAGGGATGACGTGTCTGATGAAATTCAACCATGATTGATCAATAAACGAAGACAGATATATTTGACAACACTAAGTTTAGGAGATTATCGCATACTGTTTTATTATTCATTCCAATAATTTTCCACTTTGATTACATAAACTCTGATTGTGATCTAACTTGGTTCTTCAATGCTGGTTGGGTAATTAATTCGTGTGTCACGTGATCTAGTCCCCAGTTTAATGATATTTAGTTCTAATGTCTAGTCTCCAGTACAGTACAGAATCAGAGGAATTTTTATTTTTCCATCATAACAAGTAACAAAACATAAACATGGTTTACTTACCATGAAGATCAATTATTCTATTCTTTAAAGAGTTAATAAATCCAACAACTCCGTTGAAATCAAGTTTGTTAATATCACTTTGAATAAGATTCCATAAATCCAAACATTTTTCATTATTTCGATTGTTAGAATTTGTAATGACATCATCATCAATACTATTGGTTGATGAATAATTTGGAATGAAATAAATGTATAAACGGTATAACAATCGACTCAAACATAATGTAATATGAGCTGTTTTAGTTACATTGGTTGGTTGTTGTACTATTTGTTCGAATTGTTTTAATCGTTTGAGATATACAGCTGATGAAGTGATACAAGGTACTTTTGATTGCTGCGTTATATTCTCGAATTTCAATTTACTGCATAAACTCTGGTCAATAAATTCAGGAAATCCATAGACTGATTATTTTTATTTAAAGGAAGAAAAGAAAAATTAGAAACAGAAATGTTTGTAATTCACCATGTGATATTTCGCAGTCATATTTATAGTATAAAAAATATGCCATTGTTCTATACAATTATTGACTGATAAACATGAAATCCTAGAAATGGAATGGTACAGTCGACCCTGGAGAGAGACAGCTCTCTCCAAATGCTCTCACATCACCACTCGTATACAGACACACCCACGGAAGTCCTATTCAACGCCTTCTCGCGGTAGCAGATGTTCTTTACGAAATTCCGAGGACAAAAAGTGAATATCCAGCGCTTTAAACGGGTTAGTGGATATAGAGGATCGCCTAAAAAAAACCTGTTTCGGTTTGGGCACCCGGGAAGTATTCCAGACCTCACACAAATCGAATGACGAAATGTGGCGCACATATACTCGGTGCCTCCTTGTACCAATGTTTATATGTTTAAACAACAAATGAGTTACTTAACACGTTTTACTCACAACTATGGGTAGTAAAATGATCAGTCGAACTATATGCAATAAGTTATGATTTTTTAAAAATGTTTCATCTATAAGGTGCAATAGACAGGGTCTGTCAAAAGAATCTCAAAGTCATAGGTTTGATCAAACGGTGCCATTGTATAGATAGGTTATTATTGTACGAATGACTCTGTCCGTTAAAGAAGTTAACAAAAGGGTTTAACGAAATTAGATATGAACAAACTCAAATGTACGTGAGCTGTTATTATATACATATATATAGATATATATTAAAATCCTGTTTTATGTCAGTGATAGTTCATGCCTTATCATTCATTACATCAAAAAGCAAGTGGACATGTTACCTCCGTCACAAAACGTCGATTCAGTTCAGTAGTTCGAGCGCAACTTCACTAAACCACAATTTAATCAGAAAAAGTTGTTACTAGGCCTAACAAAAAATGTTATTTACAGCCAGCCTGCTTATTGACCATTGTGTTATAGTATTTTCATTTTTATTTTCTTTCAGAACACGGTTCTGTTCACGTTAAGTTTTTAACCGTAAAATAATGTAAAATCAGGGAAATTTGACAGAATTTTTTATTTTATTTTATTTAAACACAAAAATATTGGTACAAAGGGGAACCAGATATATATGCGCCACACAAATCTCATTCGATTTGTGTGAGGGATATGGTACTGCCCGGGTGCCCAAACCGAAACAGGTGGTTTTGTTAGGGGGCTACACCCAGAGCCTTTGACTCAAAGGTCTGATCCACAAGGCAGTGGAACATCGTAAGGAGATGCAGTCCCATGGTAACTGGTGACCAACAATTGATTCATACGCCATTTATTCCTTCAGGATCCTGAAGCCCATGTGCACCATTGGTTTGGAATCAGGGTTTTCCAAATCACCTAGGTGGACTCTCTGTGTCCACCAACCCGGTTAAAGCTCGGGACATTCGCTTTTCGTCCTCTCAATTTCGTAAGTAACACCCTCGCCACTGTGAAAAGGCAGTGAGTAGGACTTCCCTGTCAGAGGCTATATGCGCGTGGCCATGTGAGAGCATTTGGAGTGGGAGAGAGGACTCTCCCCACTCTCGGCCGTACCAGGGCACTTGGGGGCTTTGACAGAATAGTATTCTACAGATTTAAACCTTTAAATTTTTCTGCATAATTAAGTGAAATTTTATTTATTTATTTAAACATAAATATTGGTACAAAGGGGTATCAGATATATATATATATATATATATATATATATATATATATATATATATATATATATGCGCCACACAAATCTCATTTAATATGTGAGGGCTATGATACTGTCCAGGTGCCCAAACCGAAGCAGGGAAAACCAATGATAGGTAATGAGAAGAGTCATCTCTAAAAAAAGTACACATCTAATAAATGTTTATTGAAGTAAAATATGAAATACGTTGTAATAAAACGTATTTTTATCCAATGAACTCCTGTAACCTATGTTTGTTATATCTTTGTTATATCCCGATAACAATAGTAAATGGTAACTCTGGGATCCATTTATGGACCAATATTATGCATATAATTTTTATCATATATTTGCTAAATAATTAAACTACTCATATTTATGTTCCTTTCATTATGAGCTTTATTTTGGCCTATAGACTATTATTGTACGATTTGCCATTCTTGCGTTATCCCTAGTTTATTAATTGCTGCCTTTCACATTCACAGCCACATTTGGCTAAATCTTTTACAGATGTTATTTTCTATTTTATTGGTACGATGTGGTCAGTCTGTTTGGTATATAAACTCAGTTTGTTTGAAATACAATGATTCATACCACAGAGGCTGTTATTGGTGTTCTGGACTTAACTGGCTGGGCTAGGCAGGAAACAGGACCGATACGTACTCTAGACTGCTCGTACGGTTTTCGTGTGTCACTGTTCCAATCGATAATTCGCAGCTCTCTGATTGGCGGTCTTATCATGTCATACATTAACTTGGAATCTGCTCAGCCACAAGATATAACAATCTTCTCGAACAATACTTAGTCATAGAATGTGGTTGGTGACAGCGTGTACGATAGCACTAACTTATGAAGGTAATATATTTTATTATTTTGTATGTTAAACAAAATGCATGTTTACATACTCTTTAATTAAACTTACATAAGAAATATTCGATTTGTAAACGAAAAGTAGCTTCAAGAGCATATAAATTGTCTGGATCATGTTCAAGAATAAATTCACATATATCATTAAATTCATTAAAATCAATGGGTAACTATAAAAGTAAAAAAACAACAAATGATACCTTTTTTTCATACCTGGTGATAATAAAACTGGAAATTAAGAAACTTAAAGTATGTAATCCATGCTAATAATCAATCGACTTGGATTCCTTACTATTATTATTATTATTATATTAACTTACCATTATTCCATTGATAGTCATTTTATATTTAATTGTAAAACTATGCATTAATGTTGAGTCATGATGAAAATCTAATTTGAAAGAAATATTTCTTAGCTTGAGGCGTATTTTTAATAGCTAAATGGTTGTATTTAAGTTATTAAAACTAAAAAAACAGCACACCAAGGATGGATCGAAATATTTTATTTTGTTATGGTGAGTAAATTATGGTGGATTGATAAAGTCTAATACCGGCTCAGTGGTCTAGAGGTTAAGCGCTCTGGCGCGAGACTGGTAGGTCCTGGGTTCAAATCTCGCGAGGTGGGATCGTGGAGGCGCACTGCTGAGGAGTTCCATAATAGGACGAAACGGTCGTCCAATGCTTTTGGGTTTTCCATAGTGGTCTAGCTTTAACTGAGACATGATTTCAGCTATGAAAAATACTGAAATCTCCACAAAAACCCCTTCTGATAATAAATGTATATAAATTTATGTTTTATTTATTTATTTATTTATTTATTTATACACATGAATATTGGTACGAAGAGGCACCAGATACATATGCGCCACACAAATCAAATGAGATTTGTGTGAGGGCTGTGATACAGCACAGGTGCCAAAACTGGAGCAGGTGGTTTACTTAGGGGCACACACCCCGAGCCTTTGACCTGAAAGTCTGAACCACAATGCAGTAGAGCATCGTGAGGCGATGCATTCCCATAGTAGCCGATGACCAACAATTGATTCATACGCCACTTGTTCATTCAGGAAACTGGAGCCAGCCCATGTGCACTATTGGTTTGGAATCAGGGTTTTCCAACTCACCTAGGTGGACTTTCCGTGTCCACAAACCCGGTTAAAGCTCGGGACATTCGCTTTTTGTCCTCTCAATTTCGTAAACAACACCCTCGCCACTGTGAGAAGGCAGTGAGTAGGACTTTTCTGGCTATATTTTTCTGGTTATATTTTCATATTCATTGAAATTTGATCTATTTAAATTCGCGTTTACACTTAAATATAATGGTTATCCCACATTTCTTTTGTTTCTTGTAGCGAATCATTCATTCAATTTTCAAAGAATTAACAAATGTAAGTGAAAAAATGATCAATTTCGTTTCATTCAATGTAAAGCAAACGCATTTCTATGCAAATTGTTCGGGACAACGACTACTACTACTGTTACCCCTCATGGAGTGGCATAGACCGCATACCGACATTCTCCATCCAATCCTGTCCTGGACAATCCCTTGAAGTTTTTCTCAGTTGTTTTTCATCCATTTTATATCTGCTTCCATAACACGTCATAATTTGTTCTTTGGCTTTCTTTTCTACACTTCTCTTCCGGATTCCAAGTTAAAGCTTGCCTCGTGATGCAGTTTGGTAATTTCGTTAATGTATGTCCGACCCACTCTCAACGTATTTTCCTGAATTGCCCTTCAGCTGAAAGCTGATTCGTCTTCTCGTTGCTAGTTCGCCCATGTATTTCCACTTGTCGGCTTTAAATCTTTTCTTCAATACCTTGTTTGGTTCTCCGTACTCTGCTTGCACCTCGACGTTCTCTGCTCTTGTTCGACCTTTAGTAATTGCTATTTTCTCGTCCTTTCTTTCTTCAATCTTGTTCAGGGTTTCCATAAAGATGCATTCCTTATGATGATGCTTCTTGCGACTCAGAACCTCTTGACACGTTGAAGTCAGTGCTTCTTTGATCTCTTCTCAGTTGTCTTCCATATTAGTTTGTTGCTCCTCTTCGTGTGAAGATGTGACCGTGTCAAGACCGTGGAACCTGTTGCGGACTCTCCCCACTCTCGGCCATACCATACTAAACTATGAATCATATCCCTTTGTATATTGATTAGTAAATTGTTGATAAATGAGGATGTTGACAGCGTGACCAACTCACTAGTAAAAAATTAAGTGCATGAACTAACCAGAAATCTCTACAATCCATAATTCGAAGGATAAAATAAACATATTTTAATGTATTCAGTTTATTTGCGGAACAAAAGACAGTACTATACTACAATTCTTGTAGCAGTGAATTAAGAAATATGGCAATAAAGTGAGAACTTTGAATCACATTTGACGACAAATTATGGTATATTTGAACATAAAATTTGTTTGTTGAGAAAGATGTGTCAGTAACTTCAGGTTAAAGTAATTTGTCTCTCTTTCTCACTCTCTTTGGGAGATCCGAACCTTGATTTTGGGTATTATAAATGTAACATCTGGCAGCTATTTATGATTGCTGTGAAGAAGCCTCAAACAAAACAGAGCTAAGTATACCGACTGAGAATTCAAAGAATACCACGGAAACGGTTTAATTTTTAGTGGTGCTGTAGTGTAAACTGGATTTTCAACTTATTAGATCAGTTTATACAGATATGAAAGAGATTGAATATGATCAGTAAGTGGAAAATGATGGTAACGAATAGTAAAAAGTTATGTTGACATTATCCTTGGCAATAAGATGACAGGGGTCAAATCCAGAAGTATCATTTCTATAATTATGGGGTCTCAGCAATACGTGGAACGTCGGCTCAATAGTCAAGGCCCCAGACTTTCAGTCACACCTGAACTAAGGATAGGGAGTGAAGTAGTCGACAACTTCACTTAACTTGGAAGTCTCATCAGCCCCAATAGGTTGCTGTCTAACGAAATTTGTTCACGGATTCCAAAAGCTTGTTTGGTTTTTGCCAACTTACGTCACCTATGGCGAAGACGAGATATCTGTTTATCAATTAAGGGACGAGTATACTGCGCAGCAATTCGCTCTGTTCTACTTTACGGCTGTGAAACGTGGCCATTAAGAGTAGATGATATTCGTAGGTTACTAGTATTTGACCACAGATACCTTAGAAATATTGCTCGCATCTGCTGGGATCACCGGGTAAGTAATAGTGAGGTTAGACACAGGTTATTAGGGAATGATGGTAAATCAGTTGATGAGGTCATGAATCTTCATCGACTGAGATGGTTGGGCCACGTGTTACGTATGCCTGAACACCGATTACCACGACGCGCTGTGCTGACTAGTGTAGGGTATGGTTGGAAGAAAGTTAGGAGCAGCCAAACCAAAACGTGGCATCAGTGCTTGAAGTCACTAACTTTTAGTCTGAGCCATGTTAGCAGATGCAGACTACTTGGTTGGGGTCCGCGTGACTATCGTAACCAATGGTTGGAGACTCTAGGTGACGTGGCTCAGAATCGATCACAATGGCGTCGGTGTATATACTCTTTATCTTCCCTTAAACCTTGAGATTAGAATTGCTTCATAACTTTCTTCCTCCCTATACTATATCCTTATATACAATCTTTCTTTTATATATGATCACCACTAAATTAACTACTACGAATTCGGTGTTCATCTTGTTGTGCTAACGAGGTATGGCAACTTGGACCGATGCATAAATTTGCCTGGTCCTACGTTGTAGCTGACTGACTGACTCACAAATAGGTCTGTACATTATCAAAAAGAAATGATTTGACCAATTTAAAAGGGCGATGTCTGTTAATATTTTGCGCTTAATCAGGATCACACTACAAACAGAAAAGCCTGACTGATAGAAAAAAAGGATATTGAGTTTTAAACAAATAAACCGGCAAACTCACTGGTAGTCGAAACTGAACGACGATTTGGACAAGCATTTTTGCGTACTCTAAATATTTTCCAGTGGAGTCAGACCTGAAAAATCAGTTGATAAAATAATTGTTGTGTGATTGCAAGCTCATTTTAAAGGATCACACGGCATTTGGAAATTTCCAAATTACATATGCATTAATTAATGGACGTCATAAGACAGAAACGTACTTTGAGCATTTTCCGATGAGTGCTGTGCATACTCTTAAAAGAATTCTTCGATTTTTGTACGGGCTTTTCTTGGTTTCGTTGTAAAGACCCTGACAATGGAGCAAATGCGAAAGAAACTGAATTATTCAATAAGGGATCGAATGAGCAGTAAAAAGCAGCATTTCGCATTATGTAGAATTTATTCTACTTGGAACTCCATAACTCGAGTAAAGCGACAAATATCAGTCCTTCATAAAAGACCATATTAGCTGAGGTCTGAAGAAAGGCTAAAAAGTTCTTTGAACCGTAGAATGATGTCGAAACTGGAATCGGGATAAAGTACAACGGAAAAGTGAAGGCGATTTAGATATTCCTAGTAGTCTTTATTACATATGCCCAACATGTTGTTTTTACTTCTACTTTAGCTTCGTGACACGCGCGCTATTCAAAAATGACAGCGGTATTTTTCCTCTAAGTAAATTTTGTGGCATTGATCGTTAAATTACGCATCAAGACTACTATTTTTGCATTAATTGAATTTTTTTAGTTAAAGTAATTCCCAAGAGTACCGCTTTTTCTCTAGAGAAGTTTATCATCTGTACTTTACGAGTACAGATACATAAAACTAAAGGTAGTGATACTTATTTTTCGTCTCTGAACGTATCTTTGAGCATTGTTTGTATCCATAGGTGTTAAGATCTTTTTGTAACTATTGAAGTCGGATTTTTATATTGTTTCTTTATTTTATTTCTATAGAAACATAAAAATCTTCGGCGCAATTACAAACTCGTTGTGGTAGACTAGCATGCTATTTCCCAGTCTATGAGGGGATGCAATGTGATAACTGCAATAAGTGGTATCACAATGTGTGCACCGAACTCACGCCGACTGTATATAAACGGTGCTGCAAGCCATTATCATGTTGGTTGTGTAAAGAATGTTGTTCTACTAAGTCTCTGCTGATTCTAGAGGCGATCGAGCTTTAAAACAGACAGCAGCAGATGATCAGAACTCTGATTTCGAGGAAATTGAGAGCGTGATTATGAGCCCAGGTCTAGACTTAAATGAGACCACAAAGGTGGACCTTATCAGGGAAACAGATAAGCATATGGATGTAGGCATTGTTATAAGAAGAAAGAAGCGCGTTGGGGAAAAACTACCTATAGACAATACTGAGGTATGTAGATCTGCAGGTTCAGTTCCGGATTCACATATCAATGTAATACAAACTATAGGGGAGCCAAGTCTGAGCAGTGTACAGCAAGTGATTAAGAGACAAAATAAGGTGGCTCACAGTCACACCTAGGAAAAGAAAAGTCAGAAAACAGAACGTGACCTAAGTGTTTGATGCTGAATCGAAATTTGAGTGCAAGGAAGAGACGAATTCTGGAACTAAAATCCCACAGACGTCGCTGAGAAGTCAGTCATTTTTCATAAGTTAAAAGAATCTTCGGATAAGGAACCAAAGGCTAGATTTGAGCACGACCTCAGTCATATTATGTCTTTAATAAGCAAGCTACTCCCAGAAACAGTTTCAGGAGTTAGCATCTGTAAGCTTTACAGAATAGGACAAAAAGTGGATTCTGAAAGTCCTCAGAAAAGCCACCTCTTGAAGGTTACATTTACCACGATTGAAGGAAGGAACCCGATTCTAGGTAACCCACGTAAATTGATTGGGTCTGGAATATACGTCCGTGAGGATCTCAGTCTAGCCGATCGTATTGAGATGAGCTGCAGAAGTGGAAATAAACGAGCGCCGCCGAAACGGTGAAAGAAACCTCGTTCTTACGGGTTTTTACATTGTAAAAGTTGGAAGCCAAACCATCCCAAAACCACTCTTGGTGGTGAGGAAAAGTTCTCCACGGAATTAAAGGAGTGCTACATAAATGCTCGCAGCCTACTAAATAAAATGGAAGAGCTCAAGACAATGGTAGATATAGAAAAACCGGATGTCGTTGCTGTCTCAGAAACATGGATAATGTCATAAGTGTTTGATAATGAAATTCAGATGACTAGTTTTTTGTCCAGTAGGGCTGATAGATTAAACCGTAGGGGGACGGGTTATCTTGTGCACGAAAAGTACCTTAACCATACAAGCTGTTGAGACAGTGGCACATGATTTAGGGACCTGTGAACTGGTGTTTTGCAGGCTAGAATGTAGACGGCAAGATATTGAAATAGTTGTAGTATATCGCAGTTCAGAATGTGTAGTAAACGATTTTCTCCTAAGCGAACCTAAGTCCTGGTGTAGAAATGGTAAAAGACTTGTAGTAGGCGACTTTAATGCACCGTGTAGAAACTGGGTTAACTTAGAAGTAGGGTCATTGATAACGTCATCCGATTGCAAACTGTCAGAAACCTCGATTGGATTAGCTTTATTCCAACACATTAGAAATCCAACAAGATATGACTTAAGAAACTCCTCTTCTATTTTTTGGATTTAGTCTTTACACACGGTGATGCTGTTGGTCAAATGACTTTCCTACCACCACCAGGGAGAAGTGACCATGCAGTCATATTATTCAAATTCATGGCTGAGATTGCCTGTCGAACAGTTGTGCCAGCCCGTTCAACTATATGGAAGGCAGATATGGGGGCAATAAACTCCGCAGCATCGACTGAAAACTGGGAAATTGACTCAAGGGCATCAGTACAAGAGGCATGAACTCATTTCAGACAGTTATACAATCGGGTAACTCAATCATACATACCCTGGACAGTCCTAAAGGAGAAGCACGGTCATATCTGGATAGGCCAGGATATTCAACGTTTACTAAGACAAAAGAAACGTCGGAATGTTGCTATCACCTTCGGCACAGCAGGTACGATGGAACGCTACACATCTGTAAGAAACATGTGTATAACTAAAATTCTGGAAGCTCAGAGAAAATATGGAATGCGGTTGGCACAATCTGCACTTAAGCAGCCTAAGACAATATTCTCGTACATAGACTACAGAACAAGAATGTATCATTGGATTCCCAATCTAATTAAAGAAGGGAGTGAATCTGATATGATAGAGGAAGACCAGGAAAAAGCAGAGGCTATGGCTAATTATTTTGGGGTAGTTTTTACTCAGGAACCACTTCTAAACAAAGAACCAGACCCAAATACAGAGTCAACAAACCACCTGCTCACCGTGGGCTTTGATAAAGACGATGTACTCAAGGCTCTTAGCACCTTAGACATGGAAAAGTCAACAGGACTGGATGAATTACACCTCGAAATCCTGAGACATATTGCACAATATATCACAGCCCACTGACTGTGATATTGGTGTCACTTGACCAAGGTGTGTTACTTATGGACTGGAAGGATGCAATCGTCACTCCCATACATAAAGCAGGATCGAGACAACTTCCATCTAGCTACAGACCTGTTAGCCTCACCAGTGTCGTAGTCGAAATACTAGAAAGAATAGTCAAAAAGACTATAATGACATTTGTGGAAACTAACAACTTGTTAACCTGCTTCAGTTTGGGCACCTGGGCAGTATCACAGCTCTCACACAAATCTCATTTGATTTGTGTGGCGCATATGTATCTGGTACCCCTTTGTACCTATATTTGTGTGTTTAAATAAATAAACACATAACAACTTATTAAGCAGCGGACAGCATGGTTTCAAAAAAGGTTTATCTTGCACAATAAACCTCCTTATAGCAAGGGAGCATTGGGCAAAGGCTATGGACAACAGAAAATCGGTAGTTGTGCTCTACATGGACCTCAGCAAAGCATTTGACGAGGTGCCAACAAACAGACTACTCTTGAGGCTAAAAAATCTTGGTATTCCTTTGTTTAAAAGGTGGCTCGGATATCCTAGAAAAAGTATGAACAGCTACCCGTGCAATTCCAGAACTCCGAAGTTTACCATACAAAGAGCGGCTTGAAAAGCTGAACCTCCTAACTCTGTCCTATTGTAGACTAAGGGGAGACCTAAATTTGATGTATATAATACCGAGAAGTGATTTTGGACTTATATTCTTTTCCCACTAGATCGCGACATCTCAGAGGACATAGCGGGCGAGTAGGAAGTCCACGAACAAATAAAATACCCGTGGCATACAAATTTTCACACCGAGTTATCAATACTTGGAACCTGCTGCTCGAAGCAGTAGTGTCCACACCTTCAACTGACTCATTCAAGAGAAGACTGAACAGTCACAGAATCATACCACAAAAAGAATAAGATAGGCCAAAGACCTGTCCTTACTACATAAATCTGAAAATCTGAATCTGTGACACTGGGTATAACTTAAATCTCAACAAATACCAAAAGGTCACGATTCTTGAACAAACTTACAATCCAAGCCATGTTGTTAGTAGAATCGATCGAAAGAGCCGAGAAATATGATTCAATCGCTTCCTTCTCGTCTCCAATTTGAGAGCAACAGGCTCCATGCATAACTAGTGTCCCATAATCTTTTGAATTAACTAGCAGTTCCTGAAATATAGGCATAATTTTGATTAGTGTCCGGTTACCCCAGTGAGTTTATAACACTCCTCAAACTTTTCGGCCTTATATAACTCTCTGGCCTGCTTTATGAGTTGGCTCATAATTATTAGTTCCGTAAATATGACTAAAGAAATTAATCTGAATCTGGAAATGTACCCTCTCAACTGTGATGAGACGACGCTGTAACGCACCTTTTATAAAAGTGGGGGTCCTTACATTCAAACGCTTCAAGTGGTTGTGGATGGGATAGAAGATGCTTTCGCTTAACAGGCTTCCGTGTCTAGTAACAGTGGATCACCAATACCTACAGGCAGGAAACTAGGTATATTACCGATAATAAAGGAAAAAGAAATTGGTAAATCATAGTAAGATATTATCCTCAGTCCTTAAGAATAGGTCAAGTTGCCTCTTAAAAGACTCCTAGGAAGTTGCTAGGAATAGCTCAGCTGGCAGCGAACTCCAGCATTTGACAACTTTTAAGCAGTAGGAGTTGTGTCTACAGTCCGTCCTGCTGTGTTGTGTATCTAGTTTCTGGGTGTTACCTCTATGTCTTGTGTTAGAGCTAAACTTAATTAGGTGTTTAAGGAGATATCCAGAAGTGTTAAGGATACCGTAAGCCATTAGAAGGTCACCTCTAAGATGCCTGTACTCTAATGGGTAAAGGTTTGGTGATGGGAAGCGCTCTTCATAAGGCTTGAATTTGAGTCCCCGAACTGATTTTGTGGCTCGCCGTTGGATACGCTTCAGAGTGTCCTTATCGTTTTTGAGTGAGGAAAAAATACTATGTTTCGACATTCTAAGCAAGGATGAATAAAGCTATTGAAGATTATGAGGAGAGATCTTCTGTCGGACCGGTCGAAAATGCGCTTCAACGTTACCAGTGCAAGGTTTGCTCGAAAGACATTTTTGTCACAATTAGCGTAAGACTTCAAATCGTAGGGTACCAGAACTCCTAAATCTTTTTCGACTTGAGATACTTCTAGAGAGAAGTTGCCTAACTTGTAACTGTAGTCTCCAACATGTCTCAGATGAACTACTTTACACTTTGAAGTGTTAAAGGTAAGTCCGTTGTCATCTGCCCAACTTTGAAGTCGAATCATATCCTCCCGAAGTGCCAGTATATCCTCTTGGTTGCGCATCCTTCTCCAAAGTTTCACGTCATCAGCAAAAAGTGATAAGTCAGACAATACCTGTTGCGGAAGATCGTTTGTATAAATCAAGGAAAGAAGTTTTAGTACTGAACCCTGGGGGATCCCATCAGGACATTCCATAGCCCGAGAGAAAGTGAAGTTAACCCTGACCTTAAAATGTCGATGAGCAGTTGTGATGTGTCGTCCATTGATATGTATATGTCTAGCTTGAAAGTACTAATGTACCGTGGACATGCGGTAAGCGATGTCTGGAGAAGAAAAATGAGGATGGAAATTGGACTGACGACTCAATAGGCGCACTTACATTTAAGAGTGAAACATAATCGCTAACGACATTAACATAACTATTAGATTAAGATAAACTGACAATCGAAATTAGAAGTTGATAACGAAGGATCCCGGTTGTTCAATATATTTGTGAAAGACTAGTATTCAAGCCTTTGTTTTGAACATAAAATAGAACAGACTAGTGACAGGCCTTTTTTCTACCATTTTTCCGTTTGTGGGGCATCTCTTTAACAAATCAATTAAAGACCACACATAACCCTGTTTGTTAGTAGTAATTTTCAACCTTGCATTACTAAATTTCTAACAATTGAACATTTTCATTCGTATGTATATAAAGATGCCATAAGTGTTAGAAGTTTGACAACATCTTTGTAACCAACGTATGCCAACTCAGTCAAACCAGAGGCCAGAAACAAAGGGTTTTGTAGGTATTTGAAAGGATAACGATATATCGGGAAGCGCTTAATATTAGTTGACTAACGGTGGTATGAGATGCGTAGCACAGCGTACCCACTGGTGATATGGTGCGGATGCGTGACTGAGAGCCTTCAGCTAGGTGTGTCAATTAAAACTAATGAGGTCAGCATTGAATGTTGGACTTACATGACTATTTATTTACCACTACATATACATTATAGATGGTTGAGAATATTGTTGCTTTACTTCAGCTACCTTCTAGCCCGCGAACCCGGGTCAAGCCTTTCCGTATACTAGTCACAAAGACTGTTAGACTATTGTTGACATGAATTAGAATGTCATTTTCATATCTCTGTCAAGCCTCAAAGATAATCGTGATTAGGTAGCCTACTTAGAGTCACACACGAGTAGCTCATGGGATTTTTATTTCGTCAAAGAATTATTACACTTCTATTTGTCCATCTAATATCTGTCAACTGAGTATGAGATTCAAAGGTAATTTTTGGTCTTTAGTTATCAGACTTTCCAACCTGTTTTCAAGTCCTATGGCTTGTTGTACGATAAAGATTTGCAACAATGAAGTGGAAAATATACATCTGCTTCATACTCATCAGGATAATCTTTAACTCGATCGAAATTTTCTTTCTTTGAAAATTTCATATTTGGGCAAACTGGTGCTCCGATAGCTTTGGAAAATCTTGCTATTTTCTCTGATTCATCATGCCACTGACTAGTGGTTCTGCTTGACACATATTTGTTGTGAGAATATCCAACATCCGATATAATAAAATCAGAAAGGTAACTAGAATTCGACTCATTCGGACTGTAATCACATCTCATTTAGAATGTGTTCCTCCCATTTAAGATTTTAATGGGAATAAATTAATCATTAGAACAAGCCATATCTGATAAAATGAAATCAGAGTTCAGGTTAGGATTTGGTGTACTCGATATATCTTCCAAATATTTGTAAATAATTTCATTGGAAATACATGAATCGTGGGAACAACGCATATCTTGTAAAATAATATCATGAACCTGATCAGAGTATGATTCATTTGAAACATTCAACCTTATAGGATCAGGATGACTAAGTTTGGCATTACTTGAAGCGAAATGAACAATGGTTTTACAAACTACCTGTATGTTTCCAATTTTATCACATTTAAAGCAATTGGCATTACGAAACACATGAGTTAAATGCGAGAACTTTGCCACGAAACAAACATTTACCAAACTTGTGCTCATCTTCGTGATCTGCTTCGCAACTCATCAACAAATCACCCGCATAACCTTCAGTATGCATTAGATGACGTAGTAATGTAGTGGAATTCTTGAGGTTCGGACGAATCACCTTATAAAATTCTTTTTCTTTACCCCATTTAATTTTTGTGCTCTTAACATGGTCTAATAGTGGTTGCTTGAGAGTTGCATAAGAAAGTGAAGTAGGATTTTCTGGTAAATCCAGAGTTTTTAGTAAGCTGTATTCTTCTTTTCCGATGAATGTAAGGAAATGAGCCACAATATTAGCATCCTCAACATCTTTCTTGGTCATAATCCAGATTTTGAAACTTTCCACATAATCATCAAAAATATATAAATCTGAATATATGTCTAATTGTTCCATCAAAGGCTTCATTGCAACGCCAATGTGATGATCATAAGTATTTGAACCATTATGTGAACTAGGAATTGTAGTGCCGTGCTTCGCTAATCGTTCACCTCGATAACCGTTATAACACAAATCTTAATGGTGCATAAAGTCAGAAGTCAAAGAGAAGCAGCAGCTACAGTTTATTGTCAAATAACGCAGGCCAGAAAGCTACAAGTATATGAACAAAAATCAGTGAGTGAAACAAAAATGACACGCATCGGAAATGGAGGGTAAGCCAACTCGCTTTAATCAAGCGTTAATCAATATTTATAGTCAGACAAGAATAAGTTACAGACATGTGATGAATAGGATAAGAAGTGTACACGCACACGCTCGTATAAAAAATAGTCGGGGTTAATAAATGAATAATTAACAAGGTCAAAATATGGCTCATGATGGACAGGTGAATTGGCTTGTCCAGAAGCTAGAATAAGGTATGTGGGTTTGACATATCAACCGACACTACAGAATCCCTGAAGTAACGCAATTTAGACCAAAGAGAATTATATGAGCTCAAACGAACGTAATGTATTTGAAATTCAAAATCAGGCAGTCATCAGGTACAAAAGAATCATTAGTTCATACAAACGACACAGATACCATCAAAGATTTTTACGTAATCTCCAGGTCTTAGTGGGTGACAACACAGTGGGTAAAGAAATTCTAAGGCGAAGAATACAATCTCTCCCACGCCACGTTCAAAACCGTTTGGTTGCTAAGGATCTGATACCTCACTCAGCGGGCATTGCAGATAAATTAATGGAAATAAGTTTCCCAACTGGATCACATACGATAGACAAAAAGAATCTTCAGAAGACCAAGTTATAACAGAGCCAATCGCGTGTGACAAAAGACTCATAGAGGCTGTTACCAAAAAGCAAATGCATCATAGAAACGGGAGCAGATCACCATAACGACCGAGATCCGAGTCGCAAATGTCCAGACAATCTGGAGAGTCCTGTTGGTACCACTGAAGTTTTGTTATCAAACCATCCAGGTGCAATCAACCATGTTCCTGGTGTAGCCAGACTCCTGAAAATATGGGAAACAAATGACCTCCACCACAGATCGCGACGGCTAAGGAGAGGTGTCTAAACAGTTGCCCGTTTTATTTTAGAGACAAAAAATCATGCTCGAACGTTTTGGTGGATACTGGTGCGGCAATTAGTATCATTCCTCAGAACAAAAATGAACTGTGTCGAAAAACTTCCCTAGTTCAGTTCAAGCTTCGAACAAAACTAAATTTGCGACGTTTTGGCAGGAAACGTTGACTATAGATTTAGGATTTTGGAGGCCATCCTCCTGGTTGTTCATCGTAGCCGATTTAGGTCTGGAAATACTGGGAATGGACATTCTAGAGAGATATGGATTTCCAGTCGACATGAAAAGATGGCGTTTGACACTAAAAGAAGCTTCGGGTTACACAAAAGGTCAAGAAGGTCACACCACTCCTCTAAATTTGATACAAACTCCGCCAGTAACAACGGCGAAATCCCAGGATATACTGTCGGAATTTCCCAAACTAACTAGACCCAACCCACAGCCTTCCAAAAGTAAACTAAAGGAAAGTCATACGATCAAAACTGAAGGAGCACATACATTTGCTAGACACAGGAGACTAGCACCAGATAAGCTTAAAGTCGCTAGAGCCGAATCCGACTACAAGCTACAGCTGGGTATTATCCGTC